TTCACAATGATCAAGTGGGATTTATTCATGAGATGAAAATTTGATTCAGTATTTTCAAATCAATTAACATCACATAAACAAAATGAAGGATAAAAATCATATACGCATATCAATAGATGCAGAAAGCATTCCACTTCTGAGTGTTCACCCAAGAAGTGGAAGCACATGTTTATACAAATGTTCCCACACAGAAACTAGAGGTAGGTCCTTTGTGATTTGTTACCAAGAATATAGTTTCTACAGCAAACCCCACAAGGTAACCTGTTTCTTGATGAATTTTCTATGCATTAGTGATGAATGACTTCCATTTTTCCCATTTCCATTTAAAAATTACAGTCATTGGGATGTTTACTCTGATCAAGTTCACAATGAGAAATCCCTCCCCTCCGTTGGTATTGTACATCTGTTATTCCTAGACAGGCCCACCTTTCTGGAGTTGGACTTATACCTGTGTACTTTCAGTTGCTGTCAAGCATTTTGTTATTGTACTTAGCAGTTAAGACTCATCATGAATTCTATTTCAGCAAATACTTATCATTTGCCTGACCTTCCCACAAGGGAAGTCTCTGATGGTGTACCCGAAAGCCTCACTCACACTTCCCTCCAAGCGGACATCCACGTGTCCACCACCACCACCGTCCATGAGGAGACAGGATGAACTAAGGACAAGAGTTCAAGCATGTGCAGGGGAGAGGGCTGAAGAATCCATTCTGGGTCCCAGAAGGCTCCGCAGAGAAGGGGTGAGGGGAACTCCTGGTACAGGGCTCCTCCACTGCTTGCCCAGTCTCCTCTATGCCCCCCGATGCCCACGTCGAGGCACAACCTGCCCCACCACTTCCACAGGCAGGCCCACTAGCTCTGGCTCTGGCTCAGGAACACCCAGGGAGGGCAAGAGTGGGTCCTGTGTTGCTGCAGTTACTGTCTCTGCTCTTTGGACCATGTGGCTCATAATTTGGCTTCTGTCTTGTCCTGTGACCAGCACACTGGGTTTTGTTCAGTGTTTAGCAGGTGACTAGTGTCTGGCACCAGGGTTAAGAAATGAGCTTTAGAAGAGTCAGTCAAAACCAGTGGAATGGAAAATCATGCCAGCTCCAATCTGAGCAATGCCAGCTCTTAGCCAACATGATAGAATTTGTTTTTTTTAAATTTTTATTTAAACAAATGTCACCACACTACAGAGCTGTGGGCAACTAAGCCTCCTGTGTGGCCTAAGCATTTCAGGGGTCATAAGTGGACAAACAGTGGGCACCTAGGTGCCCCTTGCAGGTGAGTATAATGTTGTCCAGCAGCATCTCATCGCCAGCCCACATGCATGTGCGTTTCCAGGTCAGCTCTGCTCTGCATCTTCCCAAGGCCACGTAGCTGGTGAGGATAGAACAGGGGGTTTGTTTGTACCCAGGCAGATGGGCGAGTCTGGAAAACAAAGACTCATGGCTGCTTCCTCTGTCCACCTTGCAGCCCAAGCAAGAGGAGAACAGTCCCTCAGCCTCTTGCGCCCAGGCTTCCTCCACTTGCTCCTGCACCGTCATCCTGGGACTATCTTGCACCTGACACACAGTCAGCTTCCTGGACCTGGGCACCTGGGTGCTCGCCAGGAGCCAGGAGTGTTTTTTAACCCCACAAAGACAGTTTGATTTCTGACCCCACCGGAGTGGACAGCTGACCAACCCCATCAGAATTTCTTTCCCAGGAATTTGCAAGTGGATACAAGTGATTCTGGTTGAGTGCAAACTTCAGGTGGTTGGCTACTCTACAGAAAGTCCAGACGAGGGTTGTTCCATAGGCTCCTCACCATTCCTGGTGTCTGCTGCTGGCCCTTCCTATTGGTTCTGTGTGACACCTTTGCATCCTCATAACACCTCATTTTCCCTCATCACTTAAATAGCTTAACTTGGTTTCTCTCTCTTATGACAGAAAGTCTTAAAATAAGGACTCCCAAGTGTTAAGGAAACCATTAAGAGCTCACTCACAGGTATCCAAAAGTACCTGCCATTGCAACCCTGGAAAGCTCTGGAAAATCATAATTTTTCCAATATGCTTGAATCCAGGAACTAATAGAGTTGAGCCACAGGCCAGAAATGAGCTTGAACAGACAATCTCCTGCTAGAGCAACAGCAAGTTGGGTCTGTGGTGGACATTTGTCGCTTGGCTGCCCAGTCACCAGACACCCTTTGTGTTCTGGGGACCCCACCTTTCCACACCCAGTCCATGGATCTGTCTCCATACACTAGGACAGTGTGTCTCCCCTGGAGCTGCCCCACACCCTTCTTCCCAGTCAGACCACCTTATAGGAGCTTTTTCCAGACCTCACCCCCACTGATTTAATGAACAGAGGGCTAAGTGAGAAAGACCATCCCTGACCCACGTGCCCAGGTCAATTTGTTCATTTTGAAAATCAAGGTTAAAAAACACAATTGACATAGTGTACAACAATCCATCTGTTGAAGTGTAAAGGAGGGTAGAGTTGATGTGGGTTTTGGTTCAGTTGGGGAGGGCAGATAAGAAAAAGTCCAGGAGATTAAAAATGGCGGCAGAGTAGGAGGATGCTGCATGGACATGCTCCCAGGAACAAGCTGGAATTACAACTGAAATACAAAAAGGCTTCCTGAACAATCAATAGAAAACTCATAAGAGAGAACCTTGATACCCAAGGACTGAAGGTGGACACCGCATAGAGACTGGTAGGAGGGGCGGAGGCATGAAAGGACTGGCTGGGCACCCACAGATGGCAACTGAAGTCCCAAAGAGATATTTCAGCTGTTGGGGAGGGGGAGCCACTGAGAACTCTGGGATCTAATCCTGAAGCTGGGCTCCCCAGCAGAGAGCACCAAACTGAGGAGGGTGCCCACATAACATCTAGCTGTGAAAAGCAGTGGGCTGCTGTCTGCCAGGGAGTGGCAGCTGAAAGTTCAGGCACCCTCTTAAAGGGCCAACACACAAAAATTCCCTGTAGAGCCATCCACTTGGTGTTCTGGCAGAGGGAGTGTGAAGTGGACTGGAGCTGTGAGAGCAGAAAGATAGTTGACACACCCTATTGGAAAACACCTTGCCTTGAGGCCACTTTAGAGATTAAAAATAACAATTAGCCTCCAGGTGGAAGCAACTGCCCCACCCTGTTGAAAAAACTCTCACCACACCTGAGGATGATTGCCTGGGGGTAATTCAAGTCAGCATCCTATTAGTCTGTAGACAGAGGCAGTCTCTGGTGACTTTGAGTCTTTGCCTGATCCAATTAGTCAGAAGCATCCTTTAACATTGCCCTGCACTAGAGATTGAGAGGTGTAGAGGATCTACCTAATAAATAGTCACAAACAAAAACAACCAAAATGAGGAAACAAAGAAACAACCCCAAATAAAAAAAACTAGCAAATTCTCCAGAAGAAGAGATGAATGAAGCAGAGATAAGAAATTTATCTGAAACAGAGTTCAGAATAATGATGTTAAAAATGCTCAACAGTATGAAAAAAGATATAGTAATTATGAAAAGAGAACAGTCTGAGATAAAGAATGACATAAAACATTGGAAGGAATACACAGCAGATTAGGGGAAGCTGAGGATTGAATCAGTGAATTAGAAGACAGGTAATATCTATATCAATTAGAGAACCAAAAAGAAAAGACAATTAAAAAACAGGAGGACAGCTTCAGAGAGCTGTGGAACAATGTGAAACGTAACACCATTAGAATAGTAGGTGTGCCAGAAGAGGCAGAAAGGGAGAAAGGCATAGAGAAGGTGTTTGAATAAATAATGGTAGAAAACTTCCCTAACCTAGTAAAAGGAAAAGTCACAGAAGTTCAGGAGGCACAGGAAACCCAAACAAGAAGAACCCAAACAGACCCACGCCCAGACACATAATTAAAATGCCAAAAATTAAATACAAAGAGAAAATCTTAAAGGCAACAACAAAAAAGAAAACTGTTACCTACAAAGAAGTTCCCATAATGCTGACACCTGATTTCTCATCAGAAACTCTACAGACCAGAAAGTACTCAATGTAATGGAAAGCAAGGATCTGAGACTAAGATTACTATATCCAGCAAGGCTATCATTCAAAACAGACGGTCAAATAAAGAGCTTCCCAGACAAAAAAAAAAAAAAAGGCTAAAGGACTTCATCACCACCAAGCCAGCATTACAAGAAATGCTAAAGGGATTGTTGTAAGGGATTGCTGAGAAGAAGAAACAGAGAGAGAAACCTAGCCATACAGAATAAAATGGCTATAAATAAGTACCTCTCAATAAAAACCCCAAATGTGAATGGATTCAATGCTCCAGGTGTAGGGTAACTAAATGGATACAAAAACATGACCCAACTATATGGTGTCTACAAGAAACCCACATCAAAACAAAAGACACACACACAGGATGAAAGTGAAGGGATGGAAAAAATTTTTCCATGAAAATGGAAAAGAAAAAAAAGCTGGAGTAGCAATACTCATATCTGACAAAACAGACTTTAAAAGAATCATGCTAAGCAAAATAAGCCAGTCAAAGAAAGATAAATATCATATGATCTCACTCATTTGTGGAATGTAATGAACAACATAAACTGATGAACAAAAATAGAGCTGAAAGGAGGGGGATATACTAGATTATAATAGAATTAATCCTGTTATTTGCAGATTTTTAATAGTTCTTATAACTTTTGTGATGTCATAACATGTTAGTACAGTTTTGGTAATATTATACTTAAAAATCCTTTTATTCTTGAAATATTAATGTTTATTGCATGTAATATTATATGTAAGATTATTTTTCTTGAATAATTGGTGTTTATTGCATGTAACAATATCATTTAAAATTGTTTTTCTTGAGATATTAATGTTTATTGCATGTAACATTATTTAAGGTTATTTCTCTTGAAATATTAAGGTTTATTGCATGTAACATTAAAAAAAAAAAGAATGAGGAGTTAAAATCAGAGCCTGACTCTACCCAGTGAGTGACTGTGACCATGGAACTGTGTTTTTATACTTTTAAGCTTATGTTTGCTTTTTCTGTTATTGGGTCTCTTTCTATGGAGTAAAGAGAACAGTCAATCTCTTAGGCAATCTCAGAAGGCACGAGGCTAGGAAGAGACAAAGTAAGCCAGAGAAGGGGGAGTGTTTGTTGGAAGCAACAGGTAGTGTTTTAGAACAGAACTGAACGTGAGATAACCCAGGGCACTTGGTAGGGATAAAGGATGTGATAATAGTAGAAATTTGTATGTGTTGGACTCTTACCAAGCACTGATACAGTCTATATCTAAAAGGGAGATTCCCAGTTAAAAAAAAAAAAAAGGCAAATACACCAAAATCCTCTGTTAAACTAAATGAGCCCCCACCAAAGTCTATCGTATTCTCAGAAATTCCCATACAAAATCCATGATAAGGCCCATTTATATATATATATATTATATATATATATATATTTCAGAGAGGAAGGGAGAGGGAGAGATAGAGACATCAATGATGAGAATCATTGGTCGGATGCCTCCTGCACACCCCCAACTGGGGAGTGATTGAGTCTACAACCCGGGTATGTGCCCTGACTGGGAATCAAACCGTGATCTTCTGGTTTATAGGTTGATGTTCAACTGATGGGGAATATAAGACATTCGGGGTGGGGGGGGGGGCGAGGGGGGCAAGACCTGTTTTCCTAATTACTCCCAGTTTACAAAGGGACCATAAGCAAAGAATGTAGCCGCTTAGCTGGAGGGGAGGTCACTAGCACCACCCGGACCAGGCATTTAGAGACAATCTAACTTGCCCATTCTGACTGACTCAGGAGGGGCTGTGGAAGCCACCACAAAAGCCTGGTAGTTAGGAAACAGATAGAAAGCAAAGAAACCGAAGGGTATAAAGGGAAAGCTTCCTCCATATTCACAAACTCGGGATTTGGAGAACTGACCCTGAGTCACTGTCCTAGTACATGTGAAACAGCTGAAAATAAATGGGTTTACCCTGGACCTCTGAGTCCTCCCTGTGTATTTTTCAGTCGCCTGGTAAATTCCGTAACACAACCACTGAGACACGCCGGCCTGGCAAGGCTCATTGTTAACATGTACCATTAGGTGATTCTATTGTATGTGGTCCACACACTTTGACAACCCACACTTTGAGAAACACAGTTCTATGATATTTTATTTTATTTTTCTATGAATTTTTTATAATTAAATATTCTGCTTTTAAAATAAAAATAGATGTTTTTTGAGAAATAAAGACAATTTTTTTTAAATTCTTTTTTTTTTAATATATTTTATTGATTTTTTACAGAGAGGAAGGGAGAGAGATAGAAAGTTAGAAACATCGATGAGAGAGAAACATCGATCAGCTGCCTCCTGCACATCTCCCACTGGGGATATGCCCGCAACCCAGGCACATGCCCTTGACCGGAATCGAACCTGGGACCTTTCAGTCCGCAGGCCAACGCTCTATCCACTGAGCCAAACCGGTTTTGGCGACAATTTTTTTAAAAAGTCCAGAAAACATCTCTTCTTAGAGAAATATTGCTTTATTTACTTATTCATCTTTCTTTTCCTCCCCCGGGAGTGAAGGTTTCACTAGGCCTTTTGACAGTAGGGTCAGCTCTTGGAGGCCTGTGGCCTCCATTTCCTCATGGCCTCTTCCCATAAAACTCCTCGTGTTCCCCTTCAGGGTCTCTATGAGTTGCTGGAGTCGTTTGGCAAAAGAAGGAGCTTCGGTAGGTTTAGTGAAAGGTGGAGGTGGTTGGGGTGGTGTTGGAGGGGGTGGAGGTGGGGATAGGGCTGGGGGTCGGAGTAAGGGTGCGGTTGGGGGTTGGGGTGGGAGTAGGGCTGGAGGTTGGGGTGGGGGTAGGGCTGGGGGTCGGGGTGAGGCTGGGGCTGGGGGTCGGTATAGGGGTAGGGCTGGGGTCGGGGTAGGCTGGGGGGGTCGGGGTAGGGGTAGGGCTGGGAGTCGGGGTGGGGCTGGGGCTGGGGCTGGGGCTGGGGCTGGGGGTCGGTGTTGGGGTAGGGCTGGGGGTTGGGGTGAAGGTGGGGCTGGGGGTCGGGGTGAGGGTGCGGCTGGAGGTCGGGGTCTGGATGCAGGTGGCCTGAGAGGAAGTGGTTGAGGAAAGTGTTGGAAGTACCAAGGAGGGTTAGCAGAAGGGACTTGAGTGGGGTTTGTGGCAGTACTGGGAGGGGCAGGGGTGCCCTGCTGAGCCGGTTGAGCCATCTGCAAGGCCTGGATACCGATCTTGGAAGCAATCCAGGTCAGATAGGGCCAGGTGGATGTGTAGATTCCGGGGCGCTTGGCTCGGGCACAGCCTACCCCCCAGCTCGTGATTCCCACGACCACATAGGCGTCCTCTGAGCCTCTGCACATGAGCGGCCCACCACTGTCCCCCTGCCAGAAGGACACGGGAGTCACTCTCCGCTGAACCAAGAGCCACTTCTCCCTGTCGCCCAGGAGGGCCACAGGCTCTGGGCAGACAACTTCTGCAGCCACACAGTTTTCCGCTCCCAGAAACGCAGCTGGCTGTGGTGGAGGGTCCGTGGGGATGTGACGGGTGTGGCCACCAAGGGTTTCCTCCCGGGGAGGAGGAGATGAGGAACTCACGTGTCCGTGGAGGCACACGTGAGCGTGTGTGTGTAAGGGATTGGAAGGGTTGATATTCTGGGGAAGGACATACACGTTCTGTCCGGAGCCGTGTTTCGGTGATGTGATCGTTGTGTGAGGGTGGGAGAAGGTGCTAAAGGTGGGGGTTGGTTCTCTGTAGGGGCAGCTGGTGTTGTCACCGCCCATGTTCACTGTGACCGTAGACATGCAACCAGGGAAAGGGTCACTAGATCAGGTCCCCTGAGTGCATGGAGCTGAGGGATCCAAAAAGGAGGTGGCCATACGGGCCTGGGCACCCCCAGGACAGTTACCTGGCAGGTGTCGATGTTGCCTTCAGGGTAGCCTGCGCACACATTGGTGGAGCGAATGCGCCCTCTGTACCACAGGGTTGAGTTGCACAGGTTGAGGTCGAGGATGTCCACTCGCGCCTCCTGCAGCACAGGTGACATCTTGCGGTCTACAACCAGGGACTCGGTGGTCAGTGATCTCGGAGACACGCTGGGGAAGGCCCTGCCACCACCCCGCACAGCACCCTCCTCATCCTGAAATGCTCGATTTAAACCCAGACCCACCCTCCCCTTCACACAGCAGACCAGCGAGGGGTGGGGCGGTGTCCCAGGGCGCATGCCTTGGGGGGGACAATGGACAGAGGGATGTCGGGTGGGCGGTGTCGCTGAGATGTATGTTCGTGGTAGCTGATGGACCGTGGAGGGCAGTTGGCACCAGGCTGTGCTGAGCATTGTGGGGCCCACGGGTGTCGTGTCACGTAGTCCCCGCAGCAACCTCATGGCTTCTGCACGCCAGCTCCCTGCCCGGTCAGGAGCCTGGAGCACCGCCTGCCTGCGTTGCAGCAGGGATGTGCTGTGGCCTGGATTCAGAACCAAGTCCAGTTCTGGCTGTCAGTCGCCCTCCCTGTGGTCCTGTCAGGACTCCTCCACCCTCTTGGACAGGACCCCCCAGGTGGGCTGGCGAGCCCCGCCCCATGAGCAGGCCCCTCTCTGTTCCCAGGAAGTCATGAAAGAGAAGAAAGGGGCACCCCCATCAGCACCAAGTCAGACCTTCCTGTGCAGACTCTCTGTGGGTGCCCCTGGGTTGGGAAGGGCCAGCCTGTCTGCACGGGAGCAAGTCGGCCACACAGAGCCTGAGCGCCACCAGCTGCCCCCTCTTTGTCAGGGGGTCCCACAGACAGAGGTCCTGATGGCAGCTGCTGCTCTGGCCCCATAGCCCAGAGGGTGGGTTTGAACACCCACCATCTGCAGCGCAGATGGGGGCGTAGACAGGTAAGGCCTGGCGGAGGGGCGGGTGTGGACCATGCTACGTGGGCCAGAAGGGAAGACAGGACCCCACGGAGCACGTGGGTGGGGGCGAGGCACACAGCCGATGGCTCTGATGTTTCCAATCCCTTCGGCCCCACCTTCCCTGACCACCAAGCGGCAGGCCCAGTCTGCGCATGCTCCGCCCTGGGGTAGGGGTGACACCGAAATAGCGACCACAGAGGCTCCTTAGCCAGCGAGCTGCCCGTTCTGTCTTTGGCAGAGCCTGAGCCCAGAGAGCCAGAGATTTGTTGTGAAGAGCCTGGTGTCCTCAAGCAGAGAAGGGTTTTCTGGATCCCCAGGCCCTGTTTCACAGGACGCATGCTGACAGCCCGCCCTCCTCAATGGGAAAGGAGAGGGCTCAGAGTGTGTTCCACGGACAGGTGGAAAGGAAGGTGTGGAGGAAGGAGGGCACAGGAGTGGGAGCCTGAGATTTCTTTAAGACCCAGCCTTAGGGGAGGGGGACTGAGGGGGAATGTGTGTGCCAAAAAAACGATAGAAATCCCATTAGGTTTAGAGGGATTCTAGGACGAAAGAGGCCTTGCAAGACATCCAGGCTGCAGCTGGAGCCTGCACTCCCCAGCAACACGATAGCACGAACCCTGACATCAGCCTCTGGGACTGCGTGCACCCCGGAGGCTGGTGGTTGGGTGAGTGGGCAGTGCAGGTCCAGGGAGGGAAGGTCAAAGGTCAGCAGAAGCCAGTGGTAGCCAGGGCACCTGCGGGAGACACTTTTCCTGGGGAGACAGGTGGCAACCCTACCAGAAACTGAGCAAGCTTCAGGGAGGGGATGAAGAGTTAGAGAAGAGTCCCGGAATTACTGATTTTGGGGGTAGCAACAAAAGCTGAGTTTTAAACTCCACAAGATGAACAGCCTGGAATTAGAAAGCCTAAAGGGTCTGTTATCAGGTAACAGAAGAGCATGAGAGGTAAGTTAGCGTCAATCATATCTTCACAACAGTCAGGCGGCCCCCTGTGCAAAGCCCTGCCCTGCCGGCTCAACCTTCCTGCCACGGAGACCGAGACGGCAGACACCCCCCAAACCCCGCCCTCCTCCCTCTCCCTTCTGCAGGGAAACCCTACAGCAGCTGTGATGGGTGGGGAGGATTTGGGAGCTATGACTCCCAAGGGTGGGGGTAGACGGCCTGGGCTATGGCCTTTCCACTCACAGGTGGGAAAACTGAGGCCAGAGAGAGAAAGGACCGGCCTGCGGCCACAAAACCCCACTTAGAGCTTCTCTCCCCGTTTCAAAAATGCAGCACCAGTGGCCCTGGGCAGGCACTTGGCTCTCGCCCTCAGTTTCTCCAGCTGGAAAGGGACAGAGGTTGCACCCACCCAAGGCCCCCCACATACCCTTTCACCTCACAGTGCGCTGAGGGAACGCTGCGCAATGCCCCCGGAAGCCTCTCCCGGACTCACCGTTCTCCCTTGAGAACCCCCAGCCAGTCACCCAGCAGGACTGGGACGCTCTGGGCGGGCCGGCCTTAAACGGAGGCAGGCAGCCCGGTCCAACGAGGCTCCCACAGACCACGGGAGGGGTGACCTTCATGAGAGCAATGTCGTTGGCCTCTGAGATGGAGGAATATCTCTCGTGAAGGATGATTTTCTCCACAAATCTCTCCTGGAGGGGTGCTTTCACGGGCCCGGTGCTGCCATACTCGAGTTCCCTTGCTCCGAAAATCAGTCTCCAGTCGTATGGTTTTCTGTGCGCACAGAGGACCAGGTCATTCCCGCCTGGCACCTGGCACCGGCTGCGCCCGAGACCCTCAGCCCTCTCCTCGCAGGGGTCCCCTCGACATGCTGTCAGGTGGCCACTGGGCCCAGAGCTCCAGGACACTCTACATGGAGACATGCCCCCCGCAAGAAGGTCCCTGACAAGAGCCCTTGGGAAGACCCCCTGCCCGCTCCCACACCTACTTATTGAGCCTGAAGCAGTGAGCAGCGGTGAGTACCCACTGGGCATTCAGCAAGGTGCCTCCACAGGCATGGTACCTCCGGCTGTTGTGGTAGGTGAAGACCTGCAGGCTGACCATCCAGGGCCACGCCCCGTGAGCAGCAGCCTGGCCTCCGACCACACGTGTGGTCGCTTGAAGGGTCTGCCTGAACGGTAGCCCACAGGAGCCACTGAGGAGAGACCACGGGCATAGATGAGGCCGAGAGCAGACACAGCCTGTCCTTGTGCCTCAACTGAGAGCAGGGATATGGGGTTTAAGAGTGGGAAAGATCACCCGGCCAGCGTGGCTCTGTGGTTGAGCATCGACCTGTGAACCAGGAGGTCACAGTTCGATTCCCGGTCAGGGCACATGCCCGGGTTGTGGGCTCGATCCCCAGTAGGGGACATGCAGGAGGCAGCCAATCAATGATTCTCTCTCATCATTGGTGTTCCCATCTCTTTCTCCCTCTCCCTCCCTCTTGAAATCAATAAAAATATTTTTTTTGAAAAAAAAAATCTTAAAAAAAGTGGGGAAGATCTGGGAACACGAAGGCAACTTTTGGTGTAGGGCCAGAGGGGGTGTCATGAGGGACATGTTGTGGGGCTGTGACGAGGCAGGAGCCACAGGCTCCAGGAAATGTAGTGAGGGCTGTGACTTCTTGGGTCTTGTGGGTGTAGCCACAGGTGGGAGGAGAGGGTGCCACAGGCAGCTGGGAAGATGGACAGTGAGGGCCATAGAAGTTGGGGGCCAGGGGCTCGGGGAGGCTGACATGGGAGTGCAGGGTGCCATGGCCTGGGGTCTTCAAAACCAGACTTTGGGGTTCAGGATTAGCTTAGGCAGTGACAGGAGAGGTGAGGACCTTGTCAGATGGAGGGACCCCTGGTGTAGGGAGGCTGTGGGGGTCAAGAGGTGGGATTGGTGTCACAGGTGAGAGGCCATACTAGTTTGGGACTTATTGGCATGTGGGGTATCCTGGAGGCTGTGGGGTCTCAGGGGTGTGAAGGCCCTAGAGCTACAGCAGATTGATGCTTTGGGACTCATCCACAGGCTGGGGCATCTCATGTCTGCGGGACTGGTGAGCATCAGGATGTAGGTGTGCAGGTAGATCCCCATGCTGTGCATGCCCTCAGAGCTGGGGGACCCAGGGCAGCTGGGCCCAGGACTCTGGGCTGAGGATGCTGGGAGCAGGGAGTCTGAGTCAAGCGGTGGGTCTCCAGGGGACTGCGAAGGCCCCAGCATGGCCTCCTCTCTGGACAGAGGCCTTCTGAGTCTGCTCTTCAGAAGGCACCCCATCCCCCGTCAAGGTCCCGGACACTTACTCACACGTGTTGTTAACTTTGGCGACTACAGACGCTGCCAAGACCAGCAGAACGGCAGTTGGCAGCATCTCCACCATCATCCTGCCCAGCCGCCGGGAGGCCCGCTGACCTCACAAAGCTCTGAGCATCCTGACCAATCAGCAGGGCCAGCTCCCCCACCCCACCCCCAGCAGGCAGGCCTGCAGGAACCCCTTAGCCCAACCAGTTCTTGCTGAAATGACTTCCCCACTCCCACACAGGTTCTCCTGGGTGAGGGAGACTCAAGTGCAGCCCCTCCCTTGTCCCCAAATCTGGCCAGGATCTTCAAGGTCCCACTTCATCTGAGATGACAGAGCCCGCCTTCCTTAACCCGCTGCAGAGTCCACAGGTCTCATATTCTCTACCTGAGTGTATTCTGATCTCCTTTCTGAGACCTGCATGCAGCAAGATGGTGTCCCCTATAATTGTCAGGAATTCTCATCACAGTTACCTGAATATCATGCAGTGCCCTTTCTTTTTTTTAAATATGTTTTTATTGATTTTAAAGAGAGGAAGGGAGAGGGAGAAAGAGATAGACACATCAATGATGAGAATCATCAATTGGCTGCCTCCTGCACGCCCCCCACTGGGGATTGAGCCCGAACCTGGGCATGTGCCCTGAGCAGCAATCAAACCTCCTGGTTCATAGGTCAACCCTCAACCATGGAGCTAGGCCGGTCCTGGAAGTATCCTTTCTTCTGATTGTCAGGAGACAGCATCTCAGCCACCAGGGATACCAATGCTCACCTCACCTCACACACCTGAGTGTTAAAGTGTCACCTGGCCCGGCTGGGAGTTATACCAGGGAGTTATCTCTCCTCCCTGAAGATGAGGTGTCTCTTTCCTTCCATCTCAGGGCCAAAGCCTTCTCTCCACCACCCAGTGTCACTCGTCACCTCTCTCCCTGAGAACCAAGTCTCACATACTCGACCTGAATGGCAGAGGTGACCTCTCACCGAGATGAGCGTTCTGAGGTTCCAACCACCGCGCGCAGTGTCAGGATCCTCACCCCCACCTGGCTGCCAGGAGGTCCCCCCCACCCCCACCCCGCTCCCTGAGCACAGTCTCCTCTTCCTGCCAGCAGGTCGTGAGCATTTATCTCCTCTTCCTGAGCATCTCGAGGTCTCGTCTGCCCTGCCTGAGGGTCGTGGGCAAGGGTCTTCTATGCCACACCTGAGTGTCCCAATGCTGCCTCTCCTCTACCTGGTGTCTGGGGATCCCATCTCTTCTGTCTATATCTGCAGGTTTCACCTCCTCTCTCTAAGTGACTAGGGGTCTCACCTGCCCCACTTTATATAAAGATGTCTTGCCTCCCCTAATGGAGCGTCCTAAGGCCTCACCTCCCCTGAGTGTCGGGCATGTCCATCTTCTATTTGTCAGGACATCTCATTTTCTCTAGATGAGCATCCCCAATCCTCTCTCCCGAGGGTCAGAAGGTCTCCTCTCTCCCATTACTGGGCTGGAACATCTCATCTCTGTTTCCCAGAAACTGACGAGGCTTTGTCCACCCCCCTCCCCCGCCCCCCCCGCCCTAGGTGTGGCGGGATGCATCACCCAAGTCACTTGAGTTTGGACCTGCATTGTTTCCCTTTCTTTCCAGCAAAAGTCTTGTTTCCCAGGATGACAGGTCTCAATAATCATAATCAACTCTTTGTGTCACAACATTTTTGTCTCTGCTGCCTGCATGTCAGGCCGTCTTCCTCTCTTTCTGCCTGAGTGTGCAGAGGGCCCGCACCCTTACGTCAGCTTCAGGGCTCTCAGGCATCTCTCTAAGACAGTGATGGCGAACCTTCTGAGCTCGGCGTGTCAGCATTTTGAAAAACCCTAACTTAACTCTGGTGCTGTGTCACATATAGAAATTTTTTGATCTTTGCAACCAGAGTAAAACAAAGACTTATATTTTTGATATTTATTTTATATATTTAAATGCCATTTTAACAAAGAAAAACCAAAAAAATGAGTTCGCGTGTCACCTCTGACACGCGTGTCGTAGGCTCGCCATCACTGCTCTAAGAGGATCCCTTACTTCCCAGACCCAAGTGTCACAGGATGTGGGTCTTCCACTGGAGTCTCAGGAGCCACATCTCCACTCGGCAAGAACCCACGGTCTTTTTTCTACTCTTTCTCTTTCTTTCTCTTTCTCTCTCTTTCTTTCTTTCTTTCTTTCTTTCTTTCTTTCTTTCTTTCTTTCTTTCTTTCTTTCATCTTTCTCCTTTCTTCCTCCTTTCTTCCTCTTTTTCTTCTTTCCCTTTACATCAGGCAGCCTCACCTCCTCTATCTGAAGGTCAGGAGGTCAGGAGGTTTCACCAACCTGAGTGTTAACAGGTTGCAGTTAGGAGGCCTCACTTGTTTTAAATCAGTGTCAAGATTGTGCTTGATCAAGTAACCAAAAAAAAAAAAAAAAGGTCTTTGGAAATATAGTTATGGAAATAGCATTAAGAATTCACGGAGTGATATTAAAGTTTTGACTGTTTAAGAAAAGCCAATTCAGGTGTTTTTACATGATTTTGATGGGCATAAAATTGATATGGTATTTAGATCCATGAGAATAATTTACCAGAATGATGTACCATTTATTTTAAATGTTGAAATGCACCCTTTTCTGCAAATCACAACTTTACAAGTATTTAAATATATGATCAAAACGTTGGATATACACTTTGAAATGAAGAGCAGGACCTAATTTTTCAAAACATTGAGGGTTATGCACTACCAGGGTTAGGGGACCCAACGTCTGGATTCCACAGAATAATTGTTTTACTCTACAGAGCGATGCCCACTCCTGGTTCTAGAAGGGGCTGCCAGGCATCCTACCTCTTGAAAGTCCCTGGTGTAAGCCTTGAGGTTCTGGCTCTCCAAGGCCTCGGGCGGCTTCTGACCTGCAGGGACGTTTGTCCTCTCCCTCAGACACTTGCGGAGCCAAGGCCATGCCATCTCCGTGGGAGCCGGCTCCACCGCTCCAGCTCTTCCCTCTGCTGCTGTCCCATCCCAGAGAGACCAGCTCCAGGTGCAGCTCAGAGGCCTGCCTCCTGGTGCCAGCACTCGGCCCCAGCAGGGGGCAGGGTCTCCACTCCAGCCCACACTCAGACTTCCTTCATGGCCCCTTCTGTCTGAAGAGCAGCTTCTAACTTCAAGCAGAAACTTGAAACTGTGGGGCTTTCTAGACAGATGGCGAGCCTCTCGAGGTCAAAATGCCCAGCAGTCACGGTCTCTGCCTCACCAGGGCCTTCCTCACCTTCCCCACGAGGCCTTTGCTGGCTCCCAAAGCACCTGTGCCCCTGCACCGCCTCCGGGTGGAAACACGGAATCCACCCCTCATGTCTCTGTGGCTTCTCTCCACCACGCACCCTTACTCCCTCTGGGACCAGCACACGACCCTGGAGGCATCTCCCAACAGTCTCACCTGGCTCGGTGAGAACCTGAGTCAAGGCCGACGTTTCTCGATGTCACGTTCACGCTGCACCTTCACACAGTGTGGCCAGGCTCTGCACCCACCACCCCTCCTGCAACTCTCTGGTACACAACTTCTCTGGCATATCAGCTCTGAAGGCCGGGCCCTCTCAGCCCTGGACCCTGCAGTCTCCACCTCTCACTTCCTGGGAAGTGTCCACCCACTCACCTCTGTTCATTCTCCTTCCACCCATCAGGCTGGCCACGCCCACCAGGTGCCACACCGGACCTGCCACATCATGGGCCGTGGCAGCTGGCTGCTTACCTGTCAGCTCAGGGAGAAGTGAGACTTGGGCATGGGCAGCAGCTGTCGGGGCAGGACGACAGGGACAGACATGGGAGGGCTGACAGGCAGGAGCAGCAGAATGAGAAATTGGGCTCTGGGAGGAAAAGAGAACAGACAGGGCCCCAGAGGACAACCAGACTTCCAGCTGGGGACTGGCCAGTGAGCAGAAAGGAAAGCTTCCAGGAGCACAGGCTGAGGTCCAGTGAGACTCAGAGAGAAGCAAGGAGCCGGTGGCATGGAGGTCAGTATAGAGTCAGGATCAAAGAGGGGGCCTGAGCCATCAGTGCCTATGGCTAAACGCTCATGCCTAGGCTGGGTGGGGGGGAGGGGACAGCTCTGTGACCTAAGGGACAGCAGGGTCTGTGCTCCCAGTATCTCCTCAAGCAGGCAACTGAGAAACAGTTTCATTTCTTATAAATTTATTACATAATATTATAATAATTATTATCAATAATAATAATAATATAAGAAACATAGATCTCTGTGGGGTGTATCACAACATCAGGGTCAGGAGGCCTCAGGACTGGAGCAGGGGGAAAGCCCCTGGATGGAACTCCATACAAAAGGAGGGTGAAGCGGTACTGACCCTGTAAAGTTAAAAACCCAAATTGAACGGAACCAAAAACCCACAGGTGAGTGTGAGACCGAGTGTGTATGTGGCAGCCTGTTACAGTCACGGCTGCTGTGTGATCTGGTCTGTTAGTGAAGGGTGGCTGGGTGTGACTCTGCCCAGGGAATGAGGCCGCTGGGCTGGGATGGGGTGGGCGGGCACAGACCGGCGTGCCAGGCCCCTGGGCTGTGAAAACGTCTGTTTTCTGGGTTTTTTATTTTTATTAAAAAAAGCTAGAAATATAAACAGAAACTTGTGAGTGACGTGGATGGAGCTTAGTCCAGACGCCAAACCCTAGGTTTAAAAACGTCCCAGGGCCCCCCCACCCCACAGGTCATTGCTGAGTGTGGGGAGTCACAGTAAGGGGGGCTGGGATGCCCTCGGGGGTCTCTGCTTCTCCCCAGGGTTTACGGTGGCCTGACTCTAGGGTTCTCCCTAGGATCCCCCAGAAGCCTGGTGGGGGGGGGCAGACACTGCCTCCAAGGGCCCTGGGGGGACACCCCCAGCAGCAGAGCTGACCGGTAGCCTGCTCGAGCCAGGCAGGACTCTGGAGGGGCAGGCGGGACAAACGCAAGTCCCAGGGGACAGAGGGGCCTCTGACTTTCTTTGGAAGCGGATGGGGTGCTTTCAGGCATGCACCCTGCACATGCTCCCGAAACCCTGGCACTGGTTCAGGGCCCCCCGCGGCCCGCTCCCTCCTCAGGCACACACGGGGCTCCGAGGCACTCAGTCGCACCCAGAGTTTCACACAGTCACACGCTTGCACACACACAGGCGGGACAGGAGACTTTGGGGTCTGAGGCAGAGGCTTCTTTGCTGTAGTTGCCCAACAATGTGGGGAGGAGGCTAGACCCCTCCTGGGGAGGAACCCCGTGAGGGGAATGGCTGGGAGCAGGTGCCAGGGCCCGTCCCCACCCCTGGCGAGGGTCTCCCAGGCCCCCAGGCCTAGTGCCCTGCAGGCCTGGCTGCCCGCTGCCCCTCCTCCACGCAGCACCGGAAGGGTCGTGGGGCACACTAGAGCTCAGCGAGGGGAGAAAGCCGAGGCAGGGCCCCAGGGCGGCTACTAGGACCCTGGCCAACCCCAGACCAGCTGGAGCATCCTCCGCCCACGTGGGGTGGCAGTGGCAGTGAGGGGCCAGAGATGGAAGACTGGGCAGCCACAGCGGAACCAGTAGGAGGCTGGGGGGCGGGAAGGGAAGCTATTAAGGACAGAGATATTTGTTCCTTTTCTCGTTCCAAATATAGAGTGGATTAAAATATGCAAAACAGGGGGCTCCTAGGCCCCCAACCGAGAACCCCAATGTCTCCCCCCTCCCCCCCGAGTCACCAAGGTGTGTCCTGACCCCTCGCATGCTGGACTAGGTCCCCCCTCTGGGAGCAGCCTCCGGAACCTGTGTGAGAGCCGGTCAGGCTGGAGACTCCTCCCCAACCCCTCCGGCTCCACCCTTTCACCCGCATTCCTGACCGTGTGCTGGGGTGGGGCTCACCGGCCGTGGGAGGGCGCTAAGCAATGTACAGGGCAAGTCTCCGAGCCACGGCAAACAGGACGATTCATGCAACATTCCTGGCCCGGGCGCCTTAGTTGGGGGCAGGGGCCGAGCCCGCGGCCCGGGGTGGGGGTGGGGGTGGGGGCCCTGCCCGCAGGGCGCGGCCGGCGCGTGGAGGGGGTGGGGCGTCAGCTGCCCTCCAGCTGCCTGAGCGCGCGCTCGATGTTCATGCGGTGGCCCACGCGCGTGACGCCCAGCTCCACGAAGTCGTCCTTGGTGAGGGCCGGCAGGTGCGCGCCCTCGATCTCGTGGTCCTCGAAGCGGTCGCGGTGCTCGCCCAGGTGGATGCTCTCCAGCCAGTCGCCCACGTCGAACTTGCTCCACAGCTGCAACGGCTTCTGCTGGAAGGGCCTGCGCGGGCCGGGGCCTCCCGGGCCGGGCCCGGGGGTGGGCGAGGGCAGCGGCGAGGGCGAGGGCGAGCGGCTGCGCGCGCTCACGCTGCGCACCACGAAGCGCACCTCCTTCGGCTCGTGCGGGATGGAGAGGCTGGACGACTTGAGGATGGTGGGAGGCGTGAGGCCGAAGGGCCGCCCCGCGCCCCCCGCGCCCGCCCCCAGCCCCTCCACCCGCTCCAGCGACGCGGGCTTCACTGGGCTCGGGGCGCGCCGCGCCAGGGGGTAGCGGCCGCCGGGCCGCACCTGGAAGGAGGCCCCGCCGCCCGGGCCCCCAGGGCTGCGCTGCGCTGAGATGGAGCTCAGCTCACCGAGGCTGCTGAAGAGCCTGCGGAGGGAGAGGGGTCAAGGCCAGGTGAGGGGCGCCGGGCGGGATAGGGAGGGCTCAGGGGAGCGGGGTCACTGGCCAGGAGGACGCTCAGAGGGGGCTGGGACTGGTGGGGTAGCCTTAGGGCCAGAGGAAGCAAGAGGGGGGATGGCCATGGTTATTCCCCGCCATTTTTGTGGCTCCCAGGTGAGAACCAGTGCCATGCTGGTGTGTGTGTGTGGCGGGGGGAGGGGGGCCCCTAGACTGAGTGGAATGAGGAGCAAGAAAACCAGCAGCCCCTTCACTCCACAGGGGCTCCAAGACCCGCCAGCCACCAGAGGAAAGGCAGCCTCTCCTGCAAAGGGCTGCTGCCCATCCACCCGGCCCTGCAGGGGAGGCTCTGGCAGAAACCTCACCAGTCCCCATGCAGCTCTGTTCTCAGGAGACCCCGAGCAACTAGGGCTGGCTGCAGGGAGCTGTGTTGTGAGAAAGGCTGGCTGTGGCTGCAGCACGAGCCTGAACAAGTCCGTGACACCAGACAGACCACACGGACAAGCAGCACGTGCAGGGCGGGCCTGAGGCAGCGACACCATGACACCGTCTCCCTGCACAGGCCTGCGCACGGCAGCAGCAACAGCATCCACACGTGTCACAGACATGCAGTGGCAGAGACCTGCTCATGACAGGGACGCAGCACATGTGTGCGGGCATGCACACGCACACATACACACCCACACACACAATTGACAGATGGTACCTCACTTCCCAACATCATCTGGTGGGACCCTCCAGTCCCTCGCCAGCGTGGCCATGCCGGGAGGCCTGCTGGGGGACTCCCATGACACCCCCCTTCCATCCCCTAGTGTGGCCAGAAGCCTCAGGAGGCTGCCAGGGGCCCCGCAGCCCCGCGAAGCCGAGCAGAGCGGAGCCCGGGCGGCCAGGTGCAGCGCATGGACAGAGGCATGGGATGAGCATGCTCACTTACACAGCCGGTGCTCAGGACCACCGCGCAGCTAGACAGAGCAGCCACATGCAGATGGGCAGGAGAGAGCAATGAGAGAGAGTGTTAGCAGCCCGGCCCACACAGCAGGCACGCGGCCCACAGTCACGACCACAATCAGGGCAGCCAGGGGCAGGGACCCCTGGCCGGACAACCAGTGAGGGAGGAACTCCAGTGCAGTGGGCCCAGGTGTGATGGGGGGAGGGGGCAAATCTGAAGCTGCTGGGGGTATGGGAGGAGCCCAGACTGGGGCAGATCTGGCTGGCTCCTGGTTTGCCTGAGACCTGTTCTCTGGTTTGTGAGGTACAGACCACAGAGTCGCACCCACAGGCTGTAATGACCACCCCCAGCCAGGCTCCAACCCCGAGTGCAGCAAGTGCTCAGCAGGCTTCTGGTATCTGATGTCTCGTGTCCCCTCACACTCCACTCTGCTTCCATCCCACCTGCCTCTGCTGGCTAAGGAATCCCCTCGGGGCACCCCCACCCATCTCGTGCCATCCTGAATTGGCACCCATCCCACAGCATGGGGTGTTCTCAGCATCCAACCTCCCCTTAAAGCAGGTTTTGTCTTTTCATCTCCCACCTGAGCAGGGCAGCCTCTCCCTGGAGACCCAGTTCTGTCCCTCCTTCCACTGGCCCTCTCTCCTAGCCTCTTTTCCTACCATCTCCTCCCAACTCATTCAACCCACAGCAGAGCCTCTTGAAGAGGCGAGACCATGCCCTCCGCCCCAGCAGAGAGGAGCCCCAAGGACACCTGGGGTGGGCCCAGGAACAGACACCAACCAGAAGAAGCCCCTGTCTGACCAAACCTGATCTCCATGGCACCGTGGAGCAGCAGAGGCAAGAAGAACGTCCAAGGGGGCACTGCAAGGGGGTGGTGGGTGCCGGAGGTAGTGACACTAGGGAGGGGGCAGTGCTGGGAAGATGCTAAGTGGCCTGTGGGATTGGGCCCAACACAGGCACCCCCACCAGGGCCCTCACACAGCAACCCTAGCCTGGGACAGAAGTGTAATGATGACTTGACGGGATCACAGCCAAGCTGCAAAGATGGTCTGTGTAGGCAGTGCTGGAGCCCTCCTGCCTGACGGGTGAGTCGGAGGCCTGGGGTGAGGGTGGGCGGGCTCCAGAGAACCTGGGGAGACTCTCCCTTGGAGGAGTGCTGGGTTCAGGGAGTTGGGCACCGGCTAGACTGGGGCTGGTGCCAGGAGGTGCTACGAGTGAGGGACTGAAGGGCCATGTGCCACCAAGCTGGAGTGGAGGGAGAGGGCCAGCTCATGCCTAAGGTACCCAGATCATGTTGGAGGCAGGAGGCCTAGAGGAGCCTAGGGCATGGTCCAGGGCACAGCAGGAGTGGCTGGGGTACCACCGCCCAGGTGTCTGCTCCTCCTTCCCTACCTGTTGGGGACAGGGAACTGCCCACATCGTCCCAAGGGCAGGAGTCCCCGCCGTGTCTGCACACCCATCACTGTCCATCACCCCTCTCAGCTGTCTGACTGGCCCCCAGCCAGGCTCCCACGCCACAGCACCTGCCAGCCTGCCACCCTGTAACACACAGTCCCATCGCCCTGACGCCCTGGCACCCCTCCTCCAGGCAGCTCAGCAGCCTCCCAGCATCTCTTCCAGCGTCTGGATCTTGTACTGTCCTGCCTCCTGACACCTCAGCCAGCCAGTGAGGTCTGGCCAGGCTGTCAGCAGGACCCCTTGCTGACCTGTTGCCTTTTACGGTGCCCTTCCCACTACCCTTCCTCCCTACTCAGGTTTCCCAAGCTGCCCTCTTAGTTGGCACTTTCTCCCCCATCTTTGCTACAGCCAATGTGCCCACATGGGTGGCCTGGCCAGTCTGGGTCTCCAAACATGCTCTTCCTCCCCCCAGGCCTCCCCCTACCAGGGGCCTGCAGCCACCATCGGCCTCCCCATGATGTCAGCCTCATGGCTGCCAGTGCCCAGCTGCCAGCAGTAACCCAGCCCTGCTCCTTGGCCCAGCCACCTGTGAATCCAAGGTCTCACCCAGGACCTTGCATCCCACTTCCTCACAGCTTCCCTGAACTCGTGGTACCTAACACAAAGCCAAGAACACAGATGCACTGAAAAAATGACACCAAACAAAAGTAACATGACTCCCAGGCTTGACTACTTGTGGGCCGTTGGTGTCAACAGGCCAGAACACGTCCACTCTCTGGCCTGGCCTCTGCCTCGGGGCTCTGGGGCAGCGCTGAAATAGGACAGGCAAAGGCCTGGGGCCTCTGTTGTGTGGGAACCTCGTTTAGGGAGATAAGCCTGAACAGGAGCACAGAATTAGACACAGGCTTGTAAGTTCCACCCACGCCAGTCACAGCGCCCACCCCTGCTGACGGCTCCAACCTTGACGTGCTACAAACGCCCCTACACCCCCTCGTCTGCAGCCCCTTCCCGATCCCCCATCACATCTTCTGGGAACACATTGCATGTGTCCCAACCTCATGTCGCCTACAAGGACATCCTGGCCCCAGCGCCCCCACTCTGGCCAGCACACAGCAAGCGTCTGTCCAGGTTTCAGAAGAACTAGCCCTGCAGTCACACGGGGTTTCCTCCAGATCCCTGTCACACATGTGAACAGGACGGGGCCCAGTAGGAAAGGGTTTCTTTGGCATCTCAGGAACTTTTGTGAGGCACTGACTAGTGATCTACTGAAGAAGCTGACAGGCGTGAGACTACAGCACACAACATGTCAAAGGCATTAAGAAGTACTGCAGGCAAGAAACCTTTTAACTTGGTGTTTCCCAAGCTATGTCACTACAAACTGTCCCCTATAAAGCCAGATGTGAGGGCCATACGGCTGTGAAACAGCCACAGCAGAACTGAGTGTTGCCGCGGGGCTCAGAGACTCTGTGGACCCCACACCACTTGTGGGGTCAGATCTGACCACAGAGCCTGGAAGACAAATGGAGTTCAGGCAGATGGGGACCTCAGAGAAAATGTGGGCTCTGAGCAGACAAGCGTTCTGTCTCCCAGGCTAGACCCAAAGCTGGGATCACAGAGCAGGTGGATGGCCTGGTATCAATATCCCCCAAGCCAAAGGTCCTGGCTGGACCTTCCAGGCAGTAACCAGCAGCTGCATCCTCCACCTTCACCCGAAAAACAAAGAATGCCCCCAGCAAATGGGCTGGTCATTCCTACGAGTTACCGAGCTTCAGATCCATGACACACCGGGCGGCTGAACTCGCCCAGAAAGATCTCAGGCCCCAGAGTATCTTGTGGCTAAAGGACATCAGAGCCTGGACTGAGGCACCCCCTGAGTGGGAAAGGTGGGCAGAGAGGGGCATGTCTGACAGGTGAGGACAGAAGTGGGTCTAGAACACATGTGGGACTGAGACAGGAAGCAGAAGTGTGATGTATGGCCAGTGCCTGGGGCCTCTACCAGAAACAGTCCTGGGAAGGAGAGAGCCTTCTTGGACATTTGTCTCCAAGGCAGGACCGGCAGAAGTGTTGTCACTGAATGAGAACTGACTGCCAGACTCTAGCCACCACTGTCTGTAGGACAAGAGCAGCCGCGACAGGACCCAGCCACTGCCAGCCACGGGGAGCATGATCCCGTGTACCACAGTGCCCTGCGCACACGGCACACGGCACCCTGCTCCGAGGGCAGAAAGGGGAGCAAAGGGAGAGGGAGGAAGTGTGAGCAGGAGCCCAGGGAGATGCGAAGGAGAGGCAATTTCAGGCACCTGGCAGATTGGGGGCACTGAGTGGGCTCGAGTGCAGGGATTTCAGAGCACAAGTGAACTGGTTACACACTCCTAATAAATAGTGCCAACCACAGAATGGATGCATGCGCTTCTGTGTGAGACGACTGTACATAAACCCCAAGTCTGTCGCCAGGAGGGTTTTGGGAACAGAGGCTCCCAATGGTGGACAGAGAGCAGGACCCCCAGGTCAGACAGATGCTGCCACCTCCTGGCTGGAATGCATTCTTCAGCACGTCAGTTCTGTCTGGCCATGGAGACTGTCAGTGTCCGGTAGCAGAGTGGCTGCAAGGATGAACGGAAATGGCACGACATCCTCTCAGGTCACGCCCAGCATGCATTTCCCCACAAGGACTCGAAAATTAGCCTGGCTGCACGCTGGGGGCCAATGATAGCAGAGCCATGAGAGCCTGCCACACTGCAGTCCTGGGCGTGGAGCTTCGCAGGGGGCGCTGCCTGCCATCCCCACCATTTCACAGGAGAGGGACTGTGGTTCACAGCGTCTAAGTGGCTTGTCCAAGATGACAGCGCTCAGATGCGACCTGCTGAGGGTTGAAATCCAGGGCCATGTGACCCCAAGCTGATGTCAGGCAATGAAGTGAGTTACCGAAGTTGGTGAAGGCCATGTCGCAAGGATGTCTGTTGTTTAAGGGTGCCTGGCACCTGTACCTCTGGAAACAGCACCTGACTTTCCCTGGAGAACCTCCCTCTGTCCCTCTCAGCGCCAGCTCACTAGCTGGGCGGACCCCATGCCCAGGCTTCCGGGACAAGCCTGGCCGATGACAGCCGTGTCTCCCTGGCCCCAGTGATCGGCTCAGGGGAGAGCAGGGAACCATGGGAAGCAAATCAGAAGACAGAATTCTGCAGTAACTACTGAGTGAAGGAGGCTCACTTTCCAGTGGGTGCAGAACAGATGAGATGCAAAGAACGTGCCTTCCCACCCCATGTCTGAGAAATGAAATGAGCACAGGGTTCTGGCACAACCCAGAGCCAGGGGAAAAGAGCCCCTGCTGCTGACAGGGGAGAAATGTTGAGGATGACCTGTGGGACGGTGAGTTAAGAGAAGGGCGAGTAGGAAGAGGCCAGCTGAGCAATCCCTCCCCCCTGCCCTGTGACAGCCCCAGCCGTCCCATTGGAGCCAGCACAGAGAATGACAAAATCTGGGCTCGACAACCAGTAAATCTGAGCCACGCATCTGTCCTGTGGGGTTTGTCCTGAGCCACCTCCCTAGATCTCAAAGCACAAAAGACAGCACTTGCATTGGGCTTCATTCTTTCATCTGTTTAGCAAATGTTTATTGAGGGTCTGCACTGTACCAGGCACTGTGCTACCCACTTTAAATGGCTTTGATTTTCATCGGGACCAAGGGGCACAGAGGGAGGAGGAGCGGAGAGGATGGGGGTGGTTGAGGCTGGTCAGGGAAGCCCACACCTCCGGGTCCTCATCCCAGCTGGACACCGGCCATGCTCACAGTGCCTGCTCTGAGGGCATTTTCAACACTGCCCTGCCAGGAAGGGGGCTTTCACATGCCACTGGGAGATGGAAGAGGACAAAAGGGAAGAGGGTCCCAGAGCCAGCCCCTGGGGTGACAGGAGCGGGGCCACACTCTTGGATTTCTGCCCGGCACTGGGAGCTTCCCAAACCCCCACTTATCCTTTGAATCCTGAATTGGAAGAAGACAGATAAGACAAGCCCTTGTGAGTGACACCTGAACCCTCACTGCTTTGTGAACTCTGCCTTCAAAGTGGACAGGAAAAGGCTGGCTACATTTGGTCAAGGTAACAAGAAGTGCAGGGGGGGGGGGCCTTAGGGGCAAAGAAGGGTCAACCAGTGACCAGCTCTGCCTCAGACAAGCACCCAAGGAGCCACAGGGGTCTCCATGGGGGCAAAACCCAACCAGGGCACAGGGTGGCCCCTTCAAGTTCCCACCTTGGGCAGGAGGTGGGAAAGTAAGAGAGACAGAGGGATGGGGAAGGTCAGAGAAGGCAAGAGGCCAGATGAAGGGAGCAGGGAGATGGAGTGGCTTCCATATAAGGACGGCTTCTCCATGCACCTTCAAAACCCCACAGTCTGTCTAAGAGACTCCGAGGTGGTGCTGAGAGACAGAAATGTTTCTGGGACAGAAAACAAAAAGTTGGTGTGGGTCCCCCAAGGAAAAGGACACGAGGCAAGAAAAGCTACATGAAGGGCGTCCCGGCCACATGCAGCCACGTGGCCACAGCAGGGAGGACCCAGGGCCAGAGGGAAGCCAAACAGGGCAGGGAGGTGCGACTCTGGACTGGGCCACAGATGCCACTTAATGGCAGAGCAGCTTTGGTCCAGGGTGAGCTGCAGGAACTCCAGGTGGGAGCCTCCAGGAGAGCTGTGGAGCGGGGGCTCACCCCCAGCCTGGACCTCTGACGGTTATCCTGTCCCACTCTCAGCACCAAAGGGGTGGGGAGAGCAGCAGCCCCGACACTTCAGATCCCCTGAGAGAGCCTCTTGCCTCAGACAGACGAAGCAAGGCCAGATGAAGGACGGAGAGGTAGACAGGAGGACAGGAAGGGGTGGGACAGATGGAACCATGATGGACAAGAGGCAGACAGGGAGGCCCGTGGACATGGGACAGGACCCTCCCCAGCTGCCCTGCTCACCGAGCTGCCGCGATGGGCGACTTCTTAGAAGGGTCCAGCAGGCCGCCCAGGCCACCAGCCGGCTCCTCCCCCAGGGAGCGTGTGTCTTTGTTCAGCTGCTGCAGGCGGGAGCTGAGCTCACTGATCACAGTTGGTTTGTCATCTTCAGGCCCGGGGAGCCCCCGGCTCTCCATGGGGTCCCCCCACAGCTTGGACCTTCTCTGGAAGAGGTAGCGAGGGCGAGCAGGCCCAGCGACAGAGGCCAGCCCGGCGGAGGCGGCATGGTGCTGCTGGGCCATGAGCTCACTGTCCGAGGACTGCTTCAGCAGAGGGTCCCTGAAGGTCACCGGCCCCTTCCCCAGCGGGGACTTGAGCTTGGGCTTGGGAGGCACTGGTGGCTTCTCGAGTAGAAAAGTGTGTCCATCAGCGAAGGAGGTGTGGGTGTCAGTGAGCTCCCCGCTCTCGGAGCTCAGGGTGGACATGCTGGACACTGTGGAGATGGTGCTCGTGGTCTCCAGGTGGGGGTCGCTGGAACTGCGCGTGTCCACCTCCTCCACTCCCGAGTCAGCTGCAGACTCAGGGGCGGGGGGCAGCTCACTACTCGCCTTCCCTGAGGCCGGGCCTGGCACCGTGGCGGGTGAGGGAACTGGGCCAGGCAGTGTGGTGGTCAGAAGGAGCCCGTTGGCAAACTCTTCAGGGGGTGGCACCAGCCCAATGCGAGCCAGTTCCTCTCTGGTCTCCTCATCGCTAGAGGACAGCTGGGCGGGAGGCAGGTTCACAGTAAAGACCAGCTCTGGCTCCTCCTCCGAGCTGCCCTGGCCGGGCCCAGGTTCTTTTGGGGCACTGACAGGGGGCTGCGCCCGTGGGCTGGGCAGGGGCTCTGCCACCACGGCTGACTGTGTGGGTGCAGGGGCCAGCTCTGGAGTGCCTGCGCGCCCGCGCTCCTCTTCGGCCCCTAGCCCGCTGGGCTCCTGCCCGTTGCTGGTGGCGTGGACCACAATGAGGCCGGCAGGCCGCTGCAGGGACGTGTCCAGGACGCTGAGAATCATGGACTTCTTGTCCTCAGGTGACTTCCGCTCCTCCCTGGACGCCTTCTCCGGCTCCCTGCGTGCAGGCACCGGAACCCAGGCGGGGCTCCTCGGAGAGAAGGCGGGGGAAGCCAGGGGTCCTCGCTCGGAGTCGCGGGCTTGAACATCCACAAACAGGGGCCCAGGCCGATCGGCGTCAGGGCTGTGCACAGGCGTGGGGGACCGGGAGGGCGTCTGGGAGGCCAGCGCCCGCTCCCGGGCAGCCAGCGCCAGGGCCAGGGGCGAGCTGGGGTCCAAGGGTTTGCCGGTGAGCGGGTGGATGAAGGTGGAGCCGGAAGGCCCAAGGCTTGGGCCGCTGACCAACGGCTTCAAAGCAGAGACCGGCGAGGGCAGCAGCAGGTCACGGCCGGTGGCGGTCCCGGCCCCCAGGAGCCGCTCGTCGATGGAGCGGGAGGGCTGCAGGGACGGCAGGTCAGCGCTGGGGGGGCTGCCCTCGATGGCGCCCACCGACAGGAACACGGTGGAGCGGCGCCGCTCCTCCAGCCGCCGGTCCTTGGCCGGGCCCCCGAACGCCAGCCCGCCGTCCCCAGGGCTGTAGTCGAGGCCGCCGGGCCGAGGCCCGCGGTGCGTCGGGGAGGGGTCGCGGGCGAAGCTGCCGCCCCCCGGGCCCGGGCTGCCCACGGCCAGGCCCGCGCGCTCCTGGGCCTCCTCCACCTGCAGCTGCTTCACCAGCGGGCTCTTGCGGCGCTGGGGCTTGGACGGCGTGAAGAGGCTGGCGCTGAAGGCGCCCAGGTTGGCGTAGGGGCTGTCGGGGTCCGGCGGCCGGGGCCGGCGCTTGGGGCGCTCCGGTGGAGTGGCCGCGGGCGGGGGCCGGGCGTCGCCCGCCTCGGGGGCCGAATCCTGCAGGATGATCATGGAGCGCGCGCGCTTCTGCCGCTCCGGGTAGGGCAGCGGGCCCAGGGCCGCGCCAGCTTCGTACAGGCCGGCGGCCCCCGCACCCAGACGCGCCTCCAGGCCCGGTTTGAAGCTGGAGCGCACCGTGTCGTACGCCCGGCCCGGCGGGGGCGGCGGCGAGAAGGCGGGGGGCGCCCCCGAGTCGAAATAATAGGGCGCGGGCGGGGGCGGCGGCGCGGTCTGCGGCGGGGGCGGGATGCCGCGACCCTCGCGCCCGGAGTCTTGCATCGACGTGCTCCGCGGGAAGCGCCCCTCCAGCAGGGACGCCAGCTTCTCATCCTCCCCTGCGGACAGAGGGCCCCGTGAGACTGGCCAGGCGCTGGGAGCCGGCGACTTCCGGAAGGCCCCTTGGACCCCAGCACCTGCCATCGGCAGAATCCGCCACGTCTGTCTCACCCCAGGGCAGCCAGGGATCTGCACCCCAATACCATTGCCAGTTTCGGCGGGGGGGGGGGGGGGAGGGTGTTCTTGTGAAGACTGGGGAGAGGAGTCAGTTCAGATATAGGGTAGAGGGGGGCCTGGAGAAAGTACCCAAACTCTGACCACACAGTTGGGGCCAAGACCTGCCCCAAACCTGGGACATAAAGGGGCTCAAATGAGACACACCCCAGGAGGGTAGGAGAAGCCCTCCAGTCATGGAGGTGGGGTACAGGGCTTCCCGAGTCCAATCACAGCTCAGAACCGATCACAGCCTGCAACCAGCAGGTTTCCAGGGGGGACCTGGGGGCAGCCAGAGGCAGAGAAAAGGGTACTTTCTGAGCAGGAAGGATCCATTGCAGACACAGGGACAGAAGGGCTTTGGCCAGGGAAGCCACGCCTCTGGCAGGGAGACAGCTGATGCCCAGGTAAGGGGGTGCGTGGTGCATGTCCAGTACAGGGTCAGGTGGATGGAGTGGACCGAGAGGCTGCCAGTCACTGGGAGGGAAAGAGGGTGGATGGAAATGGAACTGCAGGCTGACCACCCCACATTTTGGTTTTACTCCCTGCTGGTTGTGCAACCCCAGGCCAAGTCCCGAGCCCCTCTGAGCTTCAGTTCTCTCCTGGGCAACACACATTAAAATAAACCCCACTCTGCCTGCCTCGGACATAGTTAGGGTCTGAGCAAGGGCAGGTGGGAATGCTCAGAGCCCACATCTCCCTGCTGCCCACCTGCAGACCAGCAGGGCCTCCTTGTAGACACCATGTGGACACCTGTGCTGCAGGTGTGTGCACATAGGCTGCAGGTGCAACGGCCCAACCCAAGGAGAGTGCATTAATGGCTCTCCACGTCGACACACACGTCTCTTGTGGAGTGCCTTTTGGGGATGTGCACCTGGCCTCCCTCTGGACTGGGTGATATTTTTATGAACTCAACAAGATGCCTCTTGCCTGTCCCCAACCGCCTCCCCCGTTAGCCAGCCAGTGCTTGCGCCAGGCCGCCTACGCCCATTTGCTTCTTGGCCTGCTTAACAGCTCTCATATCCCCAGCTCAGCACGGGTGGACTTTTGAGTAAAGAGGCCTTATTGTCTGACGTCCCTTAACCTATCAGCACTTCAGTTTCCTCATCTCAGGGGCACTGCCCTCCCTGCTCCCTCCCCCATTGTGGGCCTGTGTGAGGTGGAGCCATTTAGAGCTTACAAAACAGGGCTAAGCACCTAGATGGGACCCAGGTCGTCATCATCATCATATCAGGTCTGCCTTCCACCCCTTTGCTGGACACAGGAACACAGTATATAAACACCCACCGCCCACGTGCGTGAGACAGGTACACAGGGAAGCCGGTGCCCCAGAAGCTGCAGGGGGTGTGATCTGCCAAGTTCTAACTTCAAGTCCCTTGCCTCGGAATGAAATGGAGAGTCTGTTCTGATGCCATCTTGGGTGGGCAGAGAGCAGTACCCCAGCACTTCAGTGCTGGCCCCCAAATGCTAGACCAACACCACCAAGCACAAGCAGTGGCCCAGTGTTCACTCAGTGCAGCCCCTGGGGGAGCCTCAGAGCGGCCCTGGAGGTAGGCAGGCACTTGGTGGTCCCCACATTTCCACATCAGGACCCTGAGGTTTCAAGGACTGAACCATGTGCCAAGGCCACACAGCCAGGACAAGGGGCGGGCTCTCCAGGAGTCTGGTAACTTGTTTGGCAGGCCAAGAAGAGGGGTCAAAGATGAGCACCTTTTGCCCTGGCTGTTGTTCTCAGTGGTTAGAGCACTGGCCCATGCACCGAAAGTTCTCGGGTTCGATTCCCAACCAAGGGCACGTGTCTGGGTTGCGGGTTGGAGCAACCAATAGATGTGTCTCTCTCACATCTCTCCTCCCCCTTCCTCCTCCTCCCTCCCCCTCCCCCACTTCCTCCCCCTCTCTCTGAAAATCAATGGAAAAAATCCTGGGATGAGGATAAACAAAATGATGAGCCCCTCTCAGCTCATTCACGGCCCAAGCACTGAAAGGTCTAAGAGGGTGAGTGGGAAAGAGCTGCCATCCCCATCTGGGCTCATGTCCCAATGGGCAGGCACTTGGATGTGCACTTGTATGTCCTGGGACTGGGTGTAGCTGAGGGACAGCCTCTGGCAGAGTGAGGTCAGGTGGAGAACAATGCGTCTGGCAGGCCCAGGTCAGAGGGAGGCGGAGACAGATGGCCCCTGATGAAGCAGAAGAGGGCTGGGGTCGGTTCCCCAACACCCCAAGGCAATTGGGAGCCCACAGAGGGTCAACTGCAGGGATGAGGGATGATATCTGCTCTGCAGAAGTCCCCATCTGACCTGTGGGTGGAGCTGGGAAGGGAGGTCTGAAGGACACCAAAGCTGTGATCCAAGAGCAAGACACTGAGGCCCGGCCAGGCAGGGCTACAAAGCTGGTGAGGAGTCAGGCACAAGGCATTTGAGGAGGCAGTGTACCCCTAATTTGTCAGGGGAAGCAGAGAATAAGGAGGAAACCATGGAGGACTCCCAGGGCTTAGGCCAGTGGGAGGAGGAAGGAGGGAGGTACCTCTGAGCTCCAAAGTGGCTGCAGTCTCACCAACCCTCTTCCTCCTCCTCCCCCCACAGAAAGGACCCACAGCAGTCCCTGAAGGGGACTTTATGATGATGGCCTTTATCAGTCACTCACCACATGATCTCCCAGAAACCCCCACTCATCCTGCATGTCAAACTCAGACACACCCCTCCAGCCTGCCGACACCCAGGTGTGGCTGGTACCCCTAGTTGTCTCTAACTGGACATGCTCCTTCACACTCACCACAACTGCCAAACTGAGTTGTCTGCATATGTGTCACCTCCCCCAACTGAGCCCCCACACCTGGCCCAGGGTCAGTCTAGAGTGGGCATCGAGCATCAGAGGTCCTAGGGTGAATGAGGGATTGGGGTTTGGGCAACTGGTTGGCCAGGTGGGTGAACAGAAGACAGGTAAGGCAGCTGTGTGACCTTGGGCAAGTCACTTGGCCTCTTTGCCTCAGTTTCATCGTCGGTAACACAGGTACTAACTCTAGTGTTACCTCTTCAGAGTTCCTCTAAGGACTACGTGTGGCAGTGAGCATACGCAGTGTTGGCGTGAGTGTTGAAGGGGCATTTACTGGTTAACACATGATGGGTGTGGTGAGGTGTACATCGACAGATAGATGGGTAAGTGGACAGGTCTGGGGGTAGATGGATGGACAGGTGAGCAGGAGAGGGCACTGGATGCCTAGAAGGATGAGCAGCAGGTGGGGCTTGTTAGATGACCAGGCCCAGGGTCAAAAGAGGACATGGCCAAGTGTGGGGCATGACATCAGCTGGAATGTGATGTCCCATGGAGACAGGTGCAGAGGCAGAGAGACCAAGGACACAGCCTTGAGAAAGTTCCATGTTGCTGTGGTGTGGTGTCCTCCTTGGGGAGGACAGAAGGACCCACCTTGGTGTGTGGGGCTGGGAGAAGCCTGAACATGTGCAGCTGAGAAGTGTCCTAAAACTTGGAGAAGAGTTACATGGACAAGGAAGCAGGAAAATCAACTGCGAATTGAAGTCCAAAAGAGAGGGCTGGTCATGGGCACCGGGAGGAACACCCTGTAAAACACTGGTGACCATGGTGGGAGCAACTTCAATTTTAGGTACAGAGCTAGCCTTCCCCCGGCTGCAGGCGGGGGACAGGAGACAGAAAGTATAGGTGACTTTGGAGAAATGGACTGTGAAGGAAAGGAGAGGTATTAAGGAAAGCTGGGGTACGGGGTGGGGGCAGGTTCAAGGGGAGGGTAGTTTTAGGACCAGAAATATGACATGTACTCAGGCATCCAGCATTGAAGACAAGGCCTAGGGAGGGTGGGAGCCATGGATGGAGGGTACCCACTGGACAGGAAGCCGTAGATAGGTGTGGGGGGAGTCTCAAGAGTCTGTTTTAGCAAAGTATCTCCGAGTTTGCCAAAGGACTGACCCCCACCCCCACCCCCACCCCCACATATGTCCACATATGAGATCTCTGGGCTAGGGCCAGGGAGAGGCAGGACTCAGAGGAGAACTGAAAACCCAGTTGAAGGTGGAGAGAGAGGGTCCTCCAGCCCTGTGTCCACCCGGGTCCCATTCCCCCCACCCCGTGCAGACCGCAGCCCAGCCGTACCTACAGACTTGGTCCGTGGAATCCCCTTCCGCAGGGAGCCTGGCAGCTTCTCTGGGCCTGGGAGGCCCTGGCGCTCAAACAGTGACTGTGGGAGTCGGGAGGGTACATGGAGGTTCCGCTCACACTCTTCCTAAACCTCATCTCACCCATGCACTATGTCCAACGTGCTGGTGCCCAGGCGCCTGCCTCCATAGCAGGGCCAGGTAGCAGAGGCCTGGGCAGAGTGTTGGGTGGGTTGATGCCAAGGTGGCCAGAGCAGACAGCGGCCCTGGGTGTGGCCCAGGTGAGGCTAGGGGAGCAGCCCAGGAGGTGCCCAGTAGGAGAAGTGGGCCAGGGGATAAAGACACACTATTTGTGGCATGAACAGGGCTGGCACAGAACCTCCCTAAGGCACTGAAAGCCATTCAGCACGTGGTCAACTGTGGCCATTCTGGGGGCTGAGGTGGCCCCAAGTGTCTCCAGGAGTCTGGGGGATCTTCACAACCACTCCTAAAGTGTGGGGTCCAAATGATGGACCTCCACCCCAGAAAATGTGCAAACACCCATGCTCCACCCAGCCCTCAGCCCACCCCCACACCCAGCCACCCAGCAGCTTACACTGATCTCGGCCGGGGTGATCCTCCGGCTGGTGGGCCGCTGTTTGACGGTGGCCGCCCTCGAGTCAGCATCCGCGATGTCAGGCCTCAGTGCAGGCTCCGTGGCGGCCGCCAGGATCTCATCTAGTTTTTCTGCACACCAAGAAGGTATCTTCTCAGCCACCATGACCTTGAGCAGCCTCACTGTTCTGTCCTTCCCACAAGGCTGGTCCACCCCATGCTGGGCCCACCTCAGACCTCCCACTCCCCAGGGCTGCTTCCAGACCTGGGATGGTGGCCCTCACACACCAGAACCCAGGTTCTGCACCAGCCTGCCTCTCCACCCTTGGCGAGGCTCCAGGGGACCCTGGAGACACCACTCCAGGAAAAGGCCGACTGACCCTTAGGGGGGAGGACCCGGGCACACTGCTGAGAGCCCCGGTCTCCCCAAGATTCCGTGTCCTTTGACTTTCACTTTTCTCAGCACAAGGGGTCACCCTCTGGGCCCAGCGCACAGGACAGCCCTGAGGTCCAGCGGGTGCCCACGAAAGATGCGAATCAATCAAGAATGAAAGAAAACAGCTGAGTGCCCCAGGCTGCTCAGGAAGCCAAAGAACCTTCGTCCAGGTGGGAGGTGCCAAGAAGAGGGTTTGGGGCACAGTTGGGAGGGACAAGGGGGAACCGCAGGGCTGAACAAGGCCTGGGGGAAAGGCACCAGGAGCCCCCAGGCACTGTTCTTCTCAAATCCGTTGTAAAAGAAAAGCTCTGTTTGTTTTTATTAAAGCTGGTTGATGCTTTTCAAAGTGTTGTTTTTTATGAACATGACTTGGAGGTTTTGTTAAACAACTGGGTGTGTCTGAGAGCTATGAGGTCCAGCTGGAGGACAGATAGGGCCAGTTGGGGCCAGCGCAAGTGCAGTAGGGTGCCCACCTGCTGCCAGGGGCCTCTTGTTCAGGAGCCCTGCCCACGCCATCCTTCACTCAGGTTCGAGATCCCACCCTCCCAACCACGGGACTGTGCCAACCCTACAGGCTCACGCGTCAGGTCACCCAAGCGCCCCACGTGGGAGAACGTCTGGGGTCAGCCTCGACACCTCCTACCAGCACCTGCTGTCCCACCTCTGCACCCGCCCACAATCGCCGTGCAAAGCAGATAAACTCCTGAGATGTCCAGTACCCAACCCAAACCAGACCCACTCTGTACACTCACTTTCCTGGCTTAACCTCTTTATGACTCAGTTTCCTCCTCTGATGAAACAGCACACAAGCGGCACCTGCCTCAGGGTTGTGAGAGCTAGCACATATCTAGAGGTGCCACCACTGTGCCAGCTCTGAGCAGGCACCAAGCACCGAGCACACGTTTGCTACAATCAGCTCCACAGCTGCCCTACAGCCCAGGGAACCCAGCCCGGCCCTGACACGAGGGCTCCACCAGAGTTTCAACTCACCCGGGCCCAGGTGCAGACCAGGGAGGCCTGTTAGAGGCCCCTTGTTTGTTTTGTAATGAGGTGAATGCCTTCCCTTTGGAGCTGAGACCATTTAGGTTCCAGGCGGTTTCCAGAGTGGGAAGTGCTTCACCTGTCATCCCACAACAACCACACGAAGAAGATACTGTTACTGCCCTCATTCTACCCAAGAAGAAACTGAAGCTCTGAGAGATAAATTGCCCAGATCACAGACCCAGTAAATGAAAGGTCAGACTTAGCTGCCAGGCTGCCCAGAAACCATAGACAAAAAGAGAGGTATGGAGAGAAACACTTCCGTGGGAATCACAGGACACGTGCTCACCTGAGCTGTGAATTGAGAGGCCTCTTGTCCAGGTCCGGAACTCAGTCCGAGACCCAACGCCATATGCTCGGTAAGGTAGCCAAGCACAACTGCTGGCTGTGGGCCACGGGACTGGGCCAGATGAGAATTATTTTCAAATTGGAAAGAATAAAAATTCTTCATACTATAAACTAGTGAGACTGACACCCAATCCCCCCCCAAATTAGCAAATGTATTCTTACAGCATTTCAGATATTTAGATAAGGGAATGAAGCCCATTAGGAAGCGGGTCTGGGTCCCTGGCGTGTCTCGCCCCCGCCCCCCCACCCCCCAACACCACCAGACTCACACACACAGCTGTCGTGGGGCCGGGGCGGATGCGGCTGTTTGAACAAGCGGGGCCTGTGGGGGCGACGAATCACCATCACTGCCCCTACAACTGGAGGCAGTGCGCAGGCCACAGCACAGCTCCCTGGGAGCCCCGCTAATGAGCCGAGCACAGAACCGATGTGCTCCAGAAATAGTTCGCATGTCGGCCTCAAGGTGTGCACAAAAGTGTCCACAGAGGAGACTCCATCACCTGTTTTAACGCCTGAAAAGATGCCCAGGAAAGCACTTCATTGGGACTGGGGAAGGGGCGGCGAGAACTCAGAGGGCCAGGCTGCAGGTTGTGCAGGAGACTGTGGACTGCAGGCGGGCAGGTGTGTGCTGGCACAGAAAAGGCCCATGGGTCCCAGAGTGAGGACCAGTGAGCACCGGGTACATGGACAATGAGGGGCCACAGAGCCACCTCTGGCTTCTGTGTGGCCTGGAATCCTGTTCACCGAGAGGTGGGAGAAGCTGGCAGAAGCCAGGCCCTGAGATCTGACAGATACTGGCCCTCAGTGCCCAGGCCCAGACTCTGTCCCCACATGGATGCTGTGTCCCTCGAAAGCAGGCCAGACGTACAGGGAGGAGCCTCAGAGGACATGGCAGATGAGGTCTGAAGGTAGCAGCAAGGGATGGGGAAGCCAACAGGTGGGCGATGCTGGGGTAGGAACTCCAGGCTGTCTCCCCAGTGCTGTGGGCCCAGACTCATGCTCTGAGGGACTGTCAGCACTGGGCTTGACCCCAAAACAGATCAGCACGGAAACAGCACCCATACACCAGGCACAAGGGAGCCCCCAGAGCAGACAAGAAGCAGCAACCTGGGCCAAGTCAAGCACCGGACACTCCCACCCCCGAAGTGCCACAGCTGGGTCCTAAACCCACCCTCCCTGGCTCCAGGTCTCCGCTCTGGGGGTTCCCAGCTCTGCCTCACCAGGCCACCCCAGCTCACCTGAGCCACAAGGCCCCTGACCAAGCCTATCACATCCCCAGGTGACCTAGCCGGTCCTTCTACTGTGCCCCCACCAGATCCCAGAGAAAAGGCCATCAGGAGGGTACAGCCCAGGCCTCCAGACCACCCTGAGTGAACTGGAACCTCCTCATACACCAGCACTTCCCTGGACAGGGGTCAGGCGAAGCTGTGGCCCTGGGGACACAGCAGATGACTCACCCCCTTTCCTTCTCCGAATGGAGGCTTGGAATCAAGAAACAGAGCAAAGGGGGTAAGAGGCAGGCTTCATCCTCAGCACCCGGGCCCCATTCCCCACCCCCTTTGCCCCACCTCTCTTTTCCCACCCCTTCTAACAACCAGCACCTCCCAGATCCCCACAACCCCCAACCTACACTCTCTACCAGCCCAAAGGGGCAAATCTGCCCAATGCCAAATTAGTACACAGCTTGAAACTCGAGGCAGAAACAATCACAAGCAGAGACATATGCTTTTGTGTGCATGCACACACACACGTGCGCACACACACATTTACAGTCCACTCACACATGTACACATGAGGCCCATGCAGTTCCACTCACACTCATGCACACTTGTGTGTGTCTACACACACGATGCACACACACTTGTGCACATCCACATACACTGACTCACACATGTGCACACACACTGCCCATGCATGTTTGCGTACACATATGTCCGCACATTTGTGCATGTCCACTCACACACAAGTTCACACATGATGTTCACGCACATGTTTATGCATGTCTACACACATGCACGTGCACATCCACACATACTTATACACTCGCTTGTGTATGTCCACTCACACACGTTTACATACATGCTTGTGCACATCCACTCACACATGTGCACACATTCATGCTCATGCACACACAGACATGCACACACAGACATGCACACACATGTGGAGACGTCCACAGACAAGTAAGTCAAATTTTTTTAGAGAAAGGGCAAAATCCCATAAAAACCAAGTTTGGAGTCACTGATGGCATCACTGGTTGCCCTGGAGTATTCTGCACAGTGTGTTTCCAACAAAGGGCAGGCCAGTCAGAGACCGCACACTGACGTGGCACCTGCCCCAACATTCTCATCACAGAGGAAAAAAGACCCAGAAGCTCAAGATTTACCATGAAAGTGGGTGAGTAGGCGGGGACTCAGACCCACCGGGCACTCCCAAGTCTGGGTCTCCACTGACCTCTGCAGCCCCAGCATGTCCTTGGTTCTTATTGAGGAGATGAGCATGTGGGAACCCCGATGCACACTTGCCTAAGAGCACTGGGGGTGTCCTGCCCTTCCTTCTACCACCTGTCTCAGGGGAGGGTCCCTACCCAGCCCCTTCCTCTCTGTTGTTTCTGCCAGCCCCTCAGCCATTCAGGGCTTTGCTTCTCCCCCACACTCTCTCTGAGCCCCCACCCTTGCCACCTGCTTTTTTTGTCACCTCACATCTTCCTTTCTTTCCAGCTATTTAGGTCATCTTCTCAATAGACTACAGGGACCCTAAATGGTCCCATCAGTTCTCAACAGTGTGACACAGAACTGACATGTTAATACTGGCAGTGAGCCAACGGGCCTTATTTCTACCTTTTGAAAGCACCAACACTGGACCGCAAGCTGAGCTCTGTAGTACGTGGGAACCCTGATGCCGGCCTGGCTTCCTCAAACCAGGTATTTCTAGAGGTCGACACCTGGGCTGGCTTTCTGGGGGACGGAATGGATTCTCCTCCAAACAGAGAAAAAAAAAAGCCTGGGTCCAGCTTCAACCAAAGCTGTGACCCCTCAGTCAGCAGTGTGGACAGAGGCTCTGTGCTAAGCTGTTCCTTCCTCATCCTTCCCCAAACTCTGCTCCGGAAAAGTGGATGAAGATGACGCCGACCTGAGGCTGCAGGAGTGAGCCCCTGGAAGACGAGGGCTACACAGCAGCAGAGGGAAAGCCCTGGACCAGGGCAGAGAGGAGGGAGGATCTGCTGTTCAAGGGTTTCTTCACACAGAGCAGCCACTGGTCCCTGGATTACAGATCTGGGGTTGCCCAAGCACCTCTTCATGCAGAACTGGGGGCTCCCTTCTGAACGTGCTGCTGAGCATGGCTGGGTAACAGCCTCTGGAAGGAGGCTCCTGGGACCCGCCCACCAGAGCCTCAATATGGTGTCTAGCCAGATCTCGCTGCCTAGGGGTATTGGTTCATTGATCAGTTTGGACCCTCAATCAGTGAAGCAGATCAGCTCCCCATGACTAGCCTTGAACCCTTGTGACCCTGAGGCCAGAAGTCTGCTAGCTTCCCTGCTGCACTCTTGAATGAGTGGGTTTTAGCAGGATATAGAATTCTAGGTGGAAAAGCATTTTCACACAAGACTCTGAAGTTATCATTCCATCGTCTCCTAGAAGCTACTACTGCTGATTAGAAATCAGCTGCCAGTCTTCCCTTCCTTCCTAGGTCATCCAGCTTTTTTCTCTGGTGGCTACAATTTTTCTTTCTGTCTATGGTGTTCTGAAGTTTTACTATGACAAGTCTACATGTGTAGATTTATTTCATATTTCCTTGCTTGGGACTTACACTTCTTTAAACTGGAGTCTCGTCTCCTTTTTCAATTTTGAAAATTATCAACCATTTACTCTTCAAATGTTGCCTCTTCCCCAAAGTTTTTATTCTTTTGTGTCTCACCTGCCCTTTGATAGTTTGTTATCTCCTTGTCTCCTGTGCTGCATTTTAGGTGATCTCTTCAGACTTATCTTCTAATTCACTGTTTTCTTCTTCAGCTGGGTCTGTGAACAACCCTGCAACACTGAGGAATCCTGTTCATCTCAGAGATTTTTTTTAGTCCCAGTGGCTATAATTTTTGTTTCAATACAGTTTTTTAGGGATCCTTTTAAAATCTTTTTCTTTCTTTTTTTTTTTTTTTCCTTTTGGTACTGTCTTGTTCTTTCACTATGAATTCTGTCATTTCTCTTAAACTCTGTATTTAAACACATTATTTTGTCTCTTTCATATTCTTCTATGATTTTCAGTTCTTTTGATGCTAATTCCAGTTCTTGGGTGTGGTTCCAGCTTTGGGTCCACAACCACATCTCTTGGCTTTGTGGGGGCATCAGAGCCTCAACCCCTTGCCTTGGGAATCTACATCCTGTCCCAAGCCATCATGGACTATATGGCAACATCAGCTTCCTGTCTTTTTGGCTCTGATTTCTTTCTTCATTTTTGAGACCTAGGGGATTCCTATTCTTTTGTTTCATGGCTACATATATCTGGACACACCTATGACGAGGCTATTAACAGTCACATATCTCGAGACATGCCCACAACGAGGTTACCAACATCACTCTGGGACTGTGGCCACAACATGCCCCATCAAAGCCCTGACACACTCTTATGTGCCTCCTGCAGCCCACGAGGGCCTGCCCATCACTGAAGCAGTGAGGTGCACACAGCCCTGTGAGGTCAGCCACTTTTGTTTAGCTATGTTTTTATTTTATTCATAATATTCATGGGGAAGGAAAATCCTGTCAATTCCGTTGATCTTGGTGGCTGTCCTCCATGATAAACTACAGTCAAGAGTACCAGCTTGCACAGGGTGGCTCAGCCCGTGGCCAGGATGGGATCAGGGCTCAGTCAATGACTCAGGTCAGGAATAACTTTAGCAGACTAGGGAAGAACCAAGCCTAAGCCAGGGTTGAAGCTCATTCTAGAACCAGGATCAGGGTCAGGACTGGGATAGATCCTGGCTGAAGTCAGGGTAAAGTCTGGGACTAGGACTGGGTATAGACTGTAGAAGGACAGAGCACATTAACAGTCATGTGACTAGGACACGCTCATGATGAGGACGCTGATGGTCATGAATATCAGGACATGGCTACGTATATCTGGACACACCTATGACGAGGCTATTAACAGTCACATATCTCGAGACATGCCCACAACGAGGTTACCAACATCACTCTGGGACTGTGCCCACAACATGCCCCATCAAAGCCCTGACACACTCTTATGTGCCTCCTGCAGCCCACGAGGGCCTGCCCGTCACTGAAGCAGTGAGGTGCACACAGCCCTGTGAGGTCAGCCGCTCACTGTAATTACCCTGCTCAACCAGTGAGTGAGCTGGTGCTGAGAGGGTAAAACAGATGCACAAGTCACACAGCCAGTGCCCGGCAGAGCCGGGGCAGAGCCCAGGGCCCAGACTCCTGCCCTTTTCTCACGTGGGTGAAACAAAGGAGTAAAGTCAGACTGGAGAGCCACAGGCAGCACATGTGCACGCATGCAGACACACTGGTGGGCCAGGCCCTGCTCCCGCCACCATCTGGTGGCCCCATATCCATCTCCAACCCTGTCATCCAGCCCCTTGGCCCTCATCCCATCCACATGTCTCCCCCTCATCATCCCACCATTCCAGCACCCACCCATTTACCTTAGACCTCTTCACACATCTGTCTGTCCTTCCTGCCCTCTCTCCCTCTGCCTGGCTTTGGCGCCAGCTCACTCCACCTGGCCACCCACCCTGGGTTGCCCTCAACCTCCCGCCCCCACTGCTCACCAAGTTCTTCAAGCTCAGCCGTCATGGACTTGGAACGCAGGGTCAATGTGGTGCTGGGGGCCCTCTTGGGGGGCGGCGGGGCTGCAAAGAAGAGGGAGGCCTTGGACCTCCTGTCCAGCAGCAGGCAGCGCGGCGTGGCCAGGTGCAGGTGCCACTTGCGCTCCACCGCCTGGATCTCCTCGTACTCCCGTGAGGACGTGTCACATTGCGCCAGGATCTTGTTCAGGCTGCGGCTGGATGCAAACTTCTTCATGGCGCTGGGAGCTCAGGGGGTGCTGAGGGCCGGGCTGGCCAGGGGCCTCAGGAGGTGGTCAAGAGCCCCAGGAGGGGTCACGGTGCTGGCCAGCTCTAGCCTGAGTGCCCACCCTTTAGCCTCTGAAGGCTGAGCAAGGGGCACCAGAGCCATGGGGTGGGGGCTGGGAGGGGTCCCCAGCAGGCGGGACTCTTGCTGCTCCAGGGCTCTCCCAGACCCTGGTGGCCACTGCCCCTCAGGGGACTCTGGTGTGGTCAGCTAAGCCATGGCCTGGGCTGGGCCCGGCCAGCAAAGCCTCCTGGGCCCAGGCTGATCCGCGACATCGCGCAGGGAGAAGACGCTCTTCCTCTTCCCTCAGGTGCCACCTCCCCCTTCCCTCCGACAATGAGCGGAAGGCAGCGTCAACCTCACAGTTGCTATGGCAACCCCGGCCTCCAGGCAGCTGCTGGCAGTGCAGGGAAGGAGGGCTCTTCCACACCAGGGGCTCGGGGGAAGCCAGGAAGCAGGGGGCGGGGATCTGAGGAGGGGCAACCTGGGGTCAGGGGTCACAGACTGGGGGCCAGGGGGCCAGTCTAACATCAAGAACTGGGAAAGCACCCAAGCCACGAATGGGGCATTTCACTTGGGTTCAGACACCTGATGTCAGCAGTCTGGGGCCAGGGGATGGGCAGAGAAACATGGGCCTGGGACCAGAGGTCTAAGGTCAGGAGCCAGAGGGGAGAGTCTGGGCACCGAGATCTGAAGCCTGACACCTCACCTCTGCGTCGAGCCCCGTCTTCTTCCGGCTTCCTTGTCACCGACACAACCTTCATGACAAGACGGTTCCCGCCCTGGCGGATCAGAGCCACCACCTGCTTATGTCCAACCTTCACCACGTTCACCCCGTTCACCTGGGACAGACAGGTAGGTGGGTGGGGGTGGTCCAGGTGTGTCCTCCTCAGGGCTCAGAGGTCAGCACCCACCCAGACGCACAGGTAAGGATGAGCCTCACCTCGATGAGGAAGTCTCCCGTGCGCAGCCCGGCCCTCCAGGCCACACCCTCCACATCCACAGACTCGAGGTACTGAAGTGCAGGGAAGGCCGGCGTGGGGGTGAACTCCTCGATGGGGGTCTCTGCTGCAGGGGTGGGCGGGGCGTTAGGGAGGGGCTTCACTAGTGTGTCCAGGTGGAGGCGGTTGTCACACAGTAACAGCCCAAGAGTGGTGCAACATGCCGAACAGATAAAACCAGGCAGAGCGCCCTGGGCTGGGCAGTGGGCAGGCGCCACCCAGGACAAGAGCCAGTTCTGGAATCCAAGGTACATCCCTCTGAGAAACTCCCTTCTCACCCCCACCGAGAGGCCCCACTGGGTCAGGCACACGAGAGCAGCAATCTTGGACGTCCACAAGGAGGTGGAGTCCTGCCCTGTACTGAGACATTCCAGACCAAGAGTATAGTCACAGCAGAGGGACAAGGAGGGGTGTGGTCTGGAGAGGGGATGGGGTGACACTGGGGACAGGGGCAGGGAGGAGAGCAGAGGGGTGGAACAAAAGCCCCAAACAGTTTGCAGCCCCTGCCAGCCTGACACCCAGCCCCCAACCCTTCATTACCTTTGGCCCCCCGAAGCACGAACCCAAAGCCCTCGTGGTCCCGTTTCTGCAGGATGGCCACCTTGTCATCAATGACATAATCGCTGGTGGAGGAAAGCAGGGAGGGGTGAGGAGAAGCCTGCCAACACGCTGGCCAAGCTGACCCCAGGCATGCCCCAAAAAGGGTCCCTCAGGCAGGACCCACCCTGGGAGGGCTGCCCTTGGACTGACCTGGGAGGGCAGAAGACAGAAGGCTGGGCGCCACCACTCCCTCCTCCTTCCTCTTCACCCAGGCCTCCTTGCCCAGCTCTCAGCCTCCCTTTACATTTGACATCCCACTCACATGCGTGCCCGCGTGCCCACCTGCCCACCTGCCCACCTGCCCTGCAGTACCTGTGAGAGGTGAGGCTGTCATAGGAGCCCACAGTGTAGTGGCGGAAAAGTCGCTTCGTCCGGTCCTCCCGTGTTTCTGAGGGGAGTTTCAGTTGCTGATGGAGGGTCATATCCTCCAAGCGGCCTGAACAGCCCCACAACCACAGTGGTCACCAGCCTCTGCCCACACCCCCTGGCCTGGTTGTGCCACATGGAAGTGGGGGGGGGGATCCTGGGTCCTGGGCCCAGAGGTCCTGAGGTCAGAGGCTGAGGGGACCATATGGGAAATTCTGGCTCCTGGGGTCAGGGTTCAGAACAGGGCAGGGGCTATGGGTCATTTCTCCCCCATGCACATGGCAGACCAGCCAAGGCCACAGAGAACTGGAGCCCGGAGTTACCAGCAAAGATGTCCATGTGTGAGGCACATGCATGTGGCCCACAGTTGCGTGTAAGTGCTGTGCTCACATGTGCTTGTGCATTTGCATGTCTCTGTGTCCAGTCATGTACCTATGTCATGCTACATGCCCACATGCACTGCCATGGAAGCAGCACTGTGTCTTCACTGCACCCCTCACACGGCCCACTGATGCTCAACCTCACGGGGTCCCTTGCCCCAGGTCCAGCCTCTGAGTGCACAGAGTCCAGGTGTGGGGGCTGGGTCCCTTCCCTGATGTCACGACAACGCACAGAGTTTTTTCCCACCTGTACTCTTGATCTTGGCGTCCCTCACAGCCACTGCCCCACCCTGAGCCTCCCTGATCCCCTGCAGACCTGCAGGTTCTATGGGACATACCCATCCAGCACCTCCCTGCTCCAGGCTCACTTCTGCAGCTGCCCATGAACCAGATTCTCTGCCCCCCAGACCTCATAGCACCTCTGCCTCCAAGGTGTTCCCCCAGATGGTTCCACTGCCACTCACATTTCATCCCTCAATTCCTCCCTCATTCTCTATCATTTCAGTATTTCTCAAGATTAATTTATTCATTCAACAAGTATTTACTGAACTCCTGCTGTGCACCAGGCACTCTTTGTTTTAGGCCTCTGAGAATACAGCAGATAACAGAACTAAGCCCCTACCCTATAGAGTTTACAATTCTTTCAAAGAGAGGGAGAGCAGACAAGAAATACGTATACACATAACATGTCAAATGCTGGTAAGTGTTAAGAGGACGCAGAACAGGGTTACAGAGAAAGTTCACGGTTCTAGGGTGAGGGAGGGATAATGGATGTAAAGATGGATGGATGGGTGGTCACATGAAGGCCTCCCAAAGGCACAGACCATGAGGTAGCCACCATAGGTTGCATGGGCAAAGGATTTCCTGGGGGGTGGGCACTCAGGGTAGGAAATGAGATCAAATGAGAATCTATGATTTTTTAAAATATATTTTTATTGATTTCAGAGAGGAAGGGAGAGGGAGAGAGAGATAGAAACATCAATGATGAGAGAGAATCATTGATCAGCTGTCTCCTGCATGCCCCATCCTGGGGATCGAGCCAGCAACCCAGGTATGTGCCCTTGGCCGGAATCAAACCTGGAACCCTTCAGTCCGCAGGCCGATGCTCTATCCACTGAGCCAAACCAGCTAGGGCCCTATGATTTTTGATAACCTATCTCTTCCACTAATTGTGAGCTAACATTTATTTCTGTGATCCTAGCACCTAGATAACTAGAGGGATAGATGGGTGGACAACTGGGTGGGTGGGTGGGTGGGTGGGTTGTTGGATGAATGACTATATGATGGATGGAGGGAAGGAGGGATGGAACAAGAAATGGAAGGAGGGATAGAGAGCAGGAAGGATGGATGAAGGGGTCAAAGGGTAACAGATGCATAAACAAATGGGAAGGTGGATTGAGTGGTTTGATGGGGAGGGGATAACTAGATTGGTGGATGGATGGAAGGATGGGTGGACGGATGGATGAACAGACAGACAGATGGACGAGAGGGTGGGTGGATTAATGGACAGACGAATGATGGATGAACAAATGGATTGACGAACAGACAGATGGATAGATGGATGGATAAATGGATGAACAAATGGAGAGATGGATGGAAGAAGGGATGGATGGGTAGATGGATTGATGGATGGATGGATGGGCAGATGGATGGAGGGATGGACCGATGGATAGATGGACAGACAGATAGATAAACAGATGGGTGGGTGGATAGGTGGATAGATCGGTGGGTGAATAGATGGATTGATGGACAAATGGATGGGTGGATGAATGGATGGAGGGGTGCAAGGATGAACTGATGGTAGGACGGACAGATGGACGGAAGGAGGAATAGATAGAAGTAAAGATGGATGGCTGGACAGATGGACAGGTGGGTGGATAGAAGGAGAGGTGGGTGGGTGGATGGATGGATGGATGGATGGATGGATGGATGGACGGACAGAGGGCTGGATGGATAGGTGGGTAGATGGATGGATGGATGGAAAAATGGGTGGATGAATGAAAGGAAGGAGGGTTGGGTACACTGGGTGGTCTGGGTGGGTTGACAGATGAGTAGATGATGGCAGGACAAGTGGGTGAATCAAAGGATAAAGGATGTAAGAGTAAAGGAAGCAGAGGCTGGATGGAAAGAAGAAAGAGCCCCTCTTAATGCACATGTCAGGGCAAGTACTGGTCTGGGTGGCAGGATCTGCCACTACCTTGTGTGATGCTCAGAATGCTGACAGTCCCCTTCCAGGCTCTCCCTATAGAGAAGGGAAATCCACCCTGCGGGGCCCCTAGGTTTATCACCCTGGCACCCTCCCAAGCACTGATCTGTTCTTTTCTCCCCTCTTTGCACACGCTGCCCATCATGACGGACACCCGCTTGGACACTCCTGCACTCACCATCCTGCGTCCAAGGCCAGAGCAGGCCAGGCCTCATCACTGCTCAGGTCAGCACCAGACTCCTCCTTGCCTCCACCACACCCTTCTCACATTCACCCACCTGCAGACATGTCCCCCGTGCCTGCCTGCAAAAGGACCCCAACTCCATCGTTCACTAGCCTCCCATTTTCAGATTTTGTCAACCAAAATGTATTTATTATATAACACAAATTCATTTTCCAGTTTCATTAATCAGGCACATGAAGCCAGCTGAAGTGAAAACACACAGCCTGACCCCCCTCCCCCCTCCCTTCCCAGTACTTGGAAGGGAGGGGGAGAAGGAGGGAGAGAGGAAGGGAGGGACAGAGGAAGGGAGGGAGGGGAGGACAGCTGCCAGAGCCACAGCCTTCCAGGTGTCCTACAAATCAGCCTCCGAACAGGCAGGGCTTCGCCTCATCATCTCCCCCTCACAGCTCAGGGGCTGTAGGAGGCACCCTCTCTGCTAATCCCGGGCATCAGCCTGGCCCCCATGTGTTGGCACAGTGTCCCCTCTTTGGCCTCTAAGTCTCTCTCTGTCCCTACTCCAGTCTCAGAATCAGATCTTTCTTTGGATCTGGGCCTGTTGGAAGCAGGTTCCCATTCCTGGGCTGCCTCTGGCCTCTGGCACAACCCAGGCCCTGGGTCCCAGATCAGACTCTGCCCAGAGTGCTGGCAGGCCCGGCCTGCACCGAGGACAGAGTTACTCCGTCCCTCCCAGCAGGCAGACTCCATAGGCCTCTCCCTCTGCCCACCCAGGAAATGCTCCTGTCTACCCAGGTACCTTCTGACATTCTTTCGGTGACAAACCCCAGAGCCACCCCTTCTAGGAGCCCTGCACTTGCCCAGAGGCCGATAGCTCCTGCAGCAGGATACTGTGTGCTCTCTCCCTTCCCAAGACTTCAGCCCACCCGCCCCTCAGCCACCTCCAACCACCCTGCCTGGCCCTCATACTAACCCTGAGTGGCCTGCACACTCAAGACAGCACCCCGTCTCCTCCTGCCACCCTGCCACAAACTCTAGTCCACTGTGTTCCTCCTGGAGCCACAGCCGCCTAACCGGCCTCACACCTCCACTCCAGCCCCACCGCCCCTCCCTGCACACTCAGGTGTCACCCACCCAGAGCCCGTGAATTGCACTGGCCACAGCACAGACCCTGCAGCTACTGCCTGTGTCACAAACGAGGCTGCTCCTCAGGCCGTGGGACCGGCCCTCCTAGAAATGGACCAACAGCCACTGTCCCCCCTCTGGGACCTGCTAGGGCAAGTGAGTCGGTTTCTGTATGGAAAGTGCGTGAAACCACAGCTGGCACCAGGACGCTGCTCAGAGCACGCCAGGTGGCAGCACGCGCAGACGGGCTCTGCTACCGCCACCATCAGCTGACCATCCCGAGGACTCCTGGTCATCCTTCAAGGCTCAGCTCAAACGCCTCTGCTTCGAAGCCCTGACTCCTCAGGCAACCCTGGGAGCATCTTGTGCTAACACTGCATTAAGGCCGCACACAAATGTGAAACCACTGTGCTGCCTGCTCTTCTCCAGGCAGAGAGCCAGCCTCTGTGATCCTGGCTCCCAAGACAAGATCCAACCCACGTCAAACACCTAATAAACATATGCTATTCTCAAATTCCAACTCCAGTCCAGACCTCCCTCCCACTCTCCCTAGCCTCAGCCTCGAGTCCCATTGCCCTGGAGCCACACAGTTCTCAAACCAGAACCAACGCTGCCCACCCCATGGGGGAGCACAGACCACTCCCAACTGAGCACATCTGGAGGACCCCTCCTCCCTCTCCCCTCCCCGTCAGGTTTGCACCAAGGCCCCAAACTCTGAAAGCCTTCCTCACCGGAACAGGCCGCCCCATCTACCCTCCACAGGCACACAATGGGGGTCGCATCCCTGTCACACACTCAGCCACCTGGAGAGCCATGGGGGCAAGGCAGGGCAGAGCCGAGCAAACAGGAGAAGGCAGCTGCTCAGGAGCAGGTCAGAGGCCACGTTCCACACGGGACAGGAGTCCGGGCCACCTCGGGGCAGGCTTCCCTCGGGAAACTCTCAACCCAGATTAAGAGGGCACAGCCACCCAGGGCCCAAGCCCTGTGCAGATAAAGGGGCCCTGAGCCCTTGGTCCAGAGATACCACTGGTGACCACCACTGGCCACTACTCAGGAGAGGTCTCTCTAAGCCAGAAATAACGCTCGTGGGTCTGGGAGACTCCTTGGACTTCTGAGTGCTCACTGCAAGGCTATTTATTCCCCAGCTATGCAGCTGCCCTGGTGTGGGGCCTCCAAAGGTCCTCAGATCACAGCACCCAGAGGGGTCCTTCCTGGAGGCCAAGGCCATCCCACCTGCTGCCCTCAGCCTGCCTGGCTGCAGGGCACCCACAACAGCCCCTCTGGGCCCAACTGGCCTCATTTCCTCTTGGCAGATCCAGGCCTCCCTACACTGCCCACCTGGACAATCTGTCCACTTTGGAAAGACGTCTCTCTTCTCACACTGACCTCATTACTTGTTTGCCAGCCATGCAGGAACCACGCACTCCAAGCACCCAGTATTTCTCTTAAGGTCATGGGGGGGGGGGGCAGTTGTATGGTCACTGAGGGGCACATGTGGGATCTGCACAGATGCATGTTCATACATGTGTGTCCTGTGGGCACAGCACACATGCTTCCACTACTGTATGGTGTCCGTAGATACGTGCAGGGTGTGTGTGTGCCGTGTGTCTGCTGTGCACACAAGTTTGCGTCCACGTCGAATATGTGTTTGAGTTTACCCTCGTCTTTTCTCTGAATGTCCACATGTATTCAGCTCCAAGCAAGGCCAGGGGGGAGCTAGGGAGCAGCCCAGGGGATGTGGGGGTCACTCACCATGCCGTGTATCATACTGTCTCATCTGCACCTCCTCCACGCAGTCGGCCGGGAACCAGCCCGTGCGGCCTTTCACGGTCCCCTCCCAGAAACCGCCCTCCCCAATGCTGAGCACTGGGGGGACAGAGGCCAGAAAGGCTGTCAGGCAGAGCAGGGCCACAGGGACCAGGCCCCCCCACCGCCCCCCCCCTCCCGCCTCAGGCTCAGGTTCTCCCCACCCGCCCATCACCCTTCCCCCCCCCTTCCTTTATCCTCCTGGCGTTTTCCCTGGAAAGATTTCGGGATCCACACGGAAGAGAAACGAACAGATGGGCACAGCACAGGATGGGCATGTGGGGGACAGAGAGACACACAGATGGACACGCTCGTGGGGGGACAGGAGGCAGAGGCAGGGGCCACCATCCTGCTCCTGCTCTCCCAGGTGACCCCTCTCCTCCCATTCCATCCTTGCTGTCACCCACCCCAGGGTCACTGACCAGAGTGCAGGGTCACTGCTTTGCCAGGGGATTGGGCCACAGATGGACCAGGCAGGCTGACCCTCAGGACTGTTTCCTCCCCAGGCTCCCCTGGCATAGGGCACCCACGAAGATAGGGCCCCGATGATGGCAGAGAACCCCAGACTGAGGTTCCCCAGAACAGAGGAGCCCCGTGCCAGAAGCCCTCCTAATACACAGACACCCACATAATTGTCACAGACATCACCCACAATGGCACAGGCTCCCCACGGGCACAAGGATTTCCAGGGAAGAAGTCCCAGAAGTGACCTAGGGACCCCATAACCATAGGGAGTCTGTAATGGGATAGCGTCCTTCGAACACAGAGAACCCCGATGACACCAGCCCCCGTGACACAGAAACACCCCACGACGAGAGGAGCCTCGGTGGGGACACAGGGAACCCATCACGATGGAGGGACAGGAACCCCGTGCACACAGACCCTCCCGGGCACGGAGCCCTTCACGACGACACAAGGGGTCCCCCGTGGCAGATGCATCCCATCATGACCGCCGGGGCTCAAGTTCCCAGGGCGACCCCAAAATGGCATCAGCCCCTCCAGATCGCGGTGCACCCGACCCCGCCCCCCGCGCCCCTCACCCTTCACGGCCTCGCCGCGGTGCAGCGGGATCTCGCCCTCGCCCTGCGGGCTGTGCGCCTTCACGGCGATGAACTTGCGGCCGGGGACAGCGCTGTAAAGTTTCCGCTTCGGGCCGCGGGGCGGCGGCGCGGGGGGCGCAGGGGGCGCCGGGCCAGGGCCGGGCGCGGGGCCGGGGCCGCCGGGGCCGCCGGGGCCGCTCGGGCTGTAGACGAACACGTAGGTGACGGACGCGATCCCGGGGGGCAGCGGGCACGCGAAGCCGGCGCCCGGGGCCTCCATGGCGCGCGGCCCGGCCCCGCCGCCGGCCTCACCGCAGCCGCCGCCGCAGCGCCCGCCGCCCGCCGCCCGCCGCCGCCCGCCCGCCCGCCGGGGGCCCGGCCCGGGGCCGCTCCATGGGCCGCGCCGCCGCGCCCGGCCCGCTCCCGCCAGCGCACGAGCCGCGCCCGCTCAGGGCTCGGGGGCCGCGGGGCTGCGCTCCCGGGCGCGCCGGGCTCGCTCCATGCCGCGGCTCCCGCGCCCCGCCTCCCCGCGCGGCTCCTCCCTCTGCGGGCGGCGGCGGCCGGCCCTCCCCCGCTCTCCGCGGCCCTTCGCGCGCCCCCACTGGGAGACCACGAGCGAGGGGACTGCGGTGCGCGGAGGGCGGAGGGTCGGGCCGAGGAAGGCGGGGAAGGGGGCGGCGGGACCGGCCGGGGCGGCCAGGTGGGAGCTGGGGCGGGCGGGCGCGCAATGCTTCAGACAGCGAAGGTTACCGCCCAGCCAGAGGCGCTCCCCGCGCGCGGGTCTGCGCACCTGACCCCCGCCCCTCGCTGTCCGGCCTTGGCCTCCTCACGCCCTGACCGCTGGCTGTCATACATCCGGCGCCTTAATCCCCCTCCACCGGGGTCCTCTACTCCTTGGATACCTGCCCGAGGCCTATGCACACTGGTGCTGACCAGCTACCCCGACTGCTGTCCCCCGCTGGGCACCGAACCTGAGGCCTGGGTCCTCCACCTTCACCCTGCTCAAAAGCCTGCACTGGCTCCCTAGTACCTAGGCAGGCCGGATCCACATCCTCAACCAGTAGCTCTCTGGGACTGAGAAGTGGCCACAGCCCAGCCACACACATGGATACCTTCCTTTCCCTCCTCTGGGATGTTTATGATGGCGTTTCCAACACCTCAATATTCTAATCAAGCTACTCCAGCCCTTGCTACTGTCTCTCAGCCACAACCCCACTTTCCTCTGCCCTGTGATGCTGGTGCGATCTGGGGGGGTGGGGGGGTGGGGGGGCGGGGGACTAGGGACTCCCTTCCAGGCTCTGCCAACATGGGGCGCCAGGGAGCCACCACCTCCCTCCACCACCCACCCCACCCCATCTCAGCTCAAATGCCACTTTCTCTCCTTGGACCAAAGGTGACCCCCTCAGAGACCCTCTCCCTCCAGGTTCACCAAACTTCTTCAGCCCCCTCCTGGCCACTCACAGGACAGCGTCCTTACTTGGATCTCTGCCCACCTCACTGCTTCTTAGCCCTGGGCCCTCGCTGTCACTGTCCCAAGACCTTCAGGACCTCCTGCTACTAGCTCCCACCACTTCCAGCACTCTAGGTACCAACTAAATGTTTGTAGAAAAATAATACTGATAATTCTGGCGCCCCACACAGAGCAGGTCTTGCTTTTGCGTTTGCTACAAGGCGAAGGAACATACAAAAGATCAATGAAAGCAGGGCATCCACACAGCTCCAAGCAGGAACGACCCTCTGCAAAACAGAAACACCCAGAAGTTTGTTCTTTCAGCCCAGGGGTGGGGAACCTTCTTTCTGCCAAGAACTATTTGGATATTTATAACATCATTCACGGGCCATACAAAATTATCAACTTAAAAATGAGCCTGCTGTATTTGGTCAAACATTTCATTAACTCACCCCCAATGACTTGGCAGGGCCAGACGCAATGATTTCACGGGCCTTATACCGCCCATGGGCTGGACATTCCCCACCCCCGTTTTAGCCACTGGACTGTCCCACCCTTAAAAAAATCCATGGGACATGCAAAAGCTTCAGGGAGAACTGAGATGATTTGGGGCAGGACAGGCAGGCCTGGAGTCTGGGCAAGGACGCAGACAGAGAAGGCATCACAAATCAAGGCTAGCGAGCAAGGAGAATGACAGGTGATAAAGTGGGTTTTATAAGCTCCTGCTGCACCCCAAGCCCTCTGCAGAGCACAGGCTTAGAAGTCTGGGAATCGGATCTACCTGCCTCCTAGCTCTGTGACTTTGGACAAATCACCTACCCCACCTGAGTGTCAGGACCCTCATCCATAAAATGGCACTGACAGAGAACAGCCTTGTGCAGGGTCAAGGTTAAGCTAGACCAGTGGTTCTCACCTTCCGGCCCTTTAAATACAGTCTCTCATGTTGTGACCCAACCATAACATTATTTTCGTTGCTACTTCATCACTGTCATGTTGCTACTGTGATGAATCGTCATGTAAATATCTGATCTGCAGGATGGTCTTAGGCGACCCCTGTGAAAGGGCCGTTCGACCGCCAAAGGGGTCACGACCCACAGGTTGAGAACCGCTGAGCTGGACGATGCAGCCCAGCTGTCATTGTGAAAACAGCTGCTTGTGTGACACACTCACCAGTGTCTCCCCAGCACCTTCCCCACGACCCGCTCTGGGGAAACTGGGAAGCTAGAACAATGGCTCCTGCCCTGGCCAGTGTGGCTGGCTCGGTTGTTCGGAGCATCATCCCGTACACCAGAAGGTTGCAGGTTCGATTACAGTCAGGGCACATACCTAGGTTACGCGTCCCATCTTGGGTTGGGTGCGTATGGGAGGCAACCAATCAATGTTTCTCTCTCACATCGATGTTTTTCTCTATCTTCCTTCCTTTTTCTATAACATCAATAAAAATATGTCCTCCAATGAGGATTTTAAAAAAAGGAACGTTGGCTCCTGCCCTGGAGGTGCAGGAAGGAGAGATGCCTTAACCAGCGGCGGCTGGCCGGCACTGTGGGCCAGGGGCTTCTCATAGGGACCCCTCACCTGCCCAGATTCAGAAGGCTTCCGGAAGGAAATGACTTAGGTAGGATTAGTCCTACCTTACCGATGAGAACCCAGGCACAGAGGGGTTGGCTGACCTGTCCAAGCCTATGGTCAGCAGGAGCAAGGACTGCATGGACCCCGGCCATCTGTCTGCAGAGCCAGTGCCCCACTCACTCCCCACTGCACAGCCAGCAACGGCCAGTGGGGCTCTAGCCAGGTGTCTGTCCTGTGTCCTGGGGATGCCAAGTGCCTCATATGCCCCTGTTCTCAGGGTCCCACCGCTCACAGTAAAGGGTAAAGAGAAGAACCGCAGTGTCCTGGCTGGAGAGGTGGTAGGAAGATGAAGACTCCCCTTGGAGACAGGGCTAAGGACCACCTGCAGGTTTTAAGCTCTCCTGGAGCGGAAGCCATAACCCCTACCACTCACCACCTAGCCCTCCTTCCTGGTATGGCAGGACCCTTTCTAAACCACAGGTCTGATCAGACACTCTCTTCCCTATATGCTCCCTCAGCTGCCTACTGTCCTCAGAGGAAGTCCAGTTCCCACCAGAGATGAACGTGGGGGAGCTGCCCCGGCCCACGGGGCCTCACCTTCTCCCTTCCTCATCCAGGGAGATCTATGGGGGGAGTCCCCCACCCCAAGTCTCAGCCCACCAGGTGCTAGACACCGTCGACCTCTCCCTGGCCACCCCCATGCCGGCTCCTCCCAGCTTGGGTCCTGGCACCCACCAGCCCAGACCCTGTCGGGGCCTCCCATCCCCTCCTACCTGATGTTGCTCTGGCTGCCCCTGCCTGCGTCAGTGCCACCGACGTCATTCTCTTTGTCACCATCACGGTCCCGGTCTTTCTCCTCCTGCAGCCGCTGGAGCAGCAGCTGGTGGGGGAGGCTGCGCAGCGTGGGTCCAGGGGAGGCTGCCGGCTGCACCTCGCCCTTCAGGTTGATGTCACTGGCCGAGCGCTGCAGGGGCCGTGGGGAGGCCAAGCCACTGGGGCCGGCCAGCCGCCGCCGCTTTGCATAGCTGGGGGTTTCCCTAAATGGTACTGGGGGCGGGGGGGCACATAGGTGAGGCTCTGGGCAGCCAGATGGGGTGGCCAACTTGTCCTGGTTTGCCCAGGCTCTCAGATTTTAGAACTAAAGTCCTGTGTCCCAGGAACTGCCTCAGTCCCAGCAAACCGGGAGAGTTGGCCACCCCGAAGCTACCACTGGGTCACGTTCCAAACTGCCTGCAATTGGAGCTTCAGGGGCAGAGCCTGGTCTTCCTGTCGCCAGGCGAGGTCTTAGAACTGCTCGTTTCAGGGGAGACAGGCCAGGCCACATATTTGGTGACAACTCTCACCAGGTGCTGCTGTACGGGCCATGGAGCTACTCCACCCAGGAGACTGTGAGGGAGCATCTAGACCAGGGGCTGGCAAACTTCTGTCAAGAACCAGTCGCCGTTTCAAGCTTCGTAAGCCACACAGCCTCTGTTGCAGGACCCAACACTGCCGCCGCCGCAGCACAAAAATAGCCACAAACATATAGAAGCAAATGGGCTGTGGCTGAGTTCCAATAAAACTTTATTTAAAAAGCAGATGAGGATTCGGAAAACATGGTCCAACTATATGCTATTTACAAAAGAATTACCTCAGATCCAAAGACACAAGCAGGTTTAAAGTAAAAAGATAAAAGAAGATATTTCATGTAAATAGAAACCAAAAGAGAACTAAGTAGCCATAATCATATCAGACAATATAGACTTAAAGATAAAAAGTGTTACAAGAGACAGAGGACATCATGTTGATAAAAGTGTCGATTCATAGATAGATTAACAATTATTAACATATATTCATCAAACAGAGTATCAAACAAAAATAGGAAATAAACATTGACACATTTGGAGAAATAGATAGTTCTATAATAATACTTAAGGCTTTAACACCTCACTTTCAATAATGGATAGAACATCTACAGAGAAGATCAATAAGGACATAAAAGACTTGAACCAACAGACCTAACAAGATACATACATATGTGGAGAAAAACAGGGGGAGGGCAGGGACACGCCACAAAACAACAGCAGAACACACACTCTTCTCAAACGCACATGGAACATTCCTCAGGACAGACCAAAGCAAGTCTCAATCAACTTTATAACGCTGAAATCATACACAGTATCTTCTCCAATCACAGTAAAACTAGAAATCAAATACAGGGGGAAAAAGGAAATTTCACAAATATGTGAAAATGAAACAACACAATTTTAAACATCCAATGTGTCAAAATAGAAATCAGAAGGAAAATTAGTATATACTTTGTGAAAACAAAAACAAAAATACAACGTACCAAAACTTATGAGATTCGCAAAAGCTATACTATGAGGAAAATTTATAGCTGAAAACACCTGTTTAAAAAGGATTGAGGTCTCAAAAATCAATATCTTAATTACGTATCTTAAGGAACTAGAAAAAAAGATGCAAACCAAACCCAAAGCTAGCAGAAGGAAAGAAATAATAAAGGTTGGACAGAGATAAATGAAATAAAGACTAGATATACAGAGAGAATCAATGAAACCAAAGCTATTTCTTTGAAAATATCAACAAAATTGAACAAACCTTAGCTAGACTGACTAAGAAAAAAAGAAAAGATGGACACATGTAACTAAAATCAGAAATGAAATATGAGGCATTATACCAATCTTAGAGAATTAAGAAGGAATGTGAGAGAATGCCATGGACAATTATATGCCAACAAATTAGATAAGCTAGACGAGATGGACAAATTCCCAAAACTGACTCCAGAAGAAAGAGAAAATCTAAACAGGCCTATAACAAGCCAAGGGATTGAATCAGTAATCACAAATCTCCCAACAAAGAAAAGTCCAGCATCAGATAGCATTATTGATTACTTCTACCAAACATTTAAAGAATTAACACCAATTCTTCTCAAACTCTTCCTAAAAATGGAAGAGGAAGGAACACTTCCTGACTCATTCTGTGAGTAATTAAAAACTGGGCAAAGGACTTGAACAAACACTTCTCCAAAGAAGAGTACAAGTGGCCAATAAGCCCATGAAAAGATGCTCAGCACCATCAGCCATCAGGGAAATGCAACTGGAAAACCACGATGAGATGTCACTTTGCTCAGACTAGAATAGCCATATTAAAAAAAAAAAAAATGTAGAACCCTCACACATTCCTGGTAGAATTATAAAATGGTGGAAAACAATTTGGCTGTTCCTCAAAAAGTTAAATGCAGAATTAACATATGATCCAGCAATTCCACTCCTAAGTATATACCCAAAAACAACTGAAAACAGGTACTCAAGTAAATACTTTTCACACATGTTCATAGCAACGCTATTTACAATAGCCAAAAGATAGAAACAACCCAAGTCTCCACCTAAGGATGAATGGATAAACAAGATGTCATATATACAAATAAAAAATATTATTCAGCCATAAAAAGGAATGAAACAGTGATGCATTCTACAATCTGAATAAAGCATGAAAATGTGTTGAGCAAAAAGAAGCCAGACAAGAGTTACATAGTCTGATTCTATTTATATGAAATATCCAGAATGGTAAATCCATACAGGCAGAAAATATATTAGTGACTGACATGGGTTGAAAGAGGGGAATGTGGAATAATTGCTTAGTTATATAGGGTTTTCTCTGGGGTGATTAAAATGTTCTGGAATTCAATAGAATTGGTTGTACAACACTGTGAATGTACTAAATACCATTGAATTATTCCATTTAAAATAGTTAATTTTATGTTATGTGAATTTAATTTTAAATGAAATTTAAATCCTCAATTTTAAAGCCTGAATTTAAATACAAAAAATGCTGACTGGAGCTGGATTTGGCCTGCAGGGCATCGTTTGCCAAGCCCTATTCTAGACGCCTGTGACAGAAGTGTGGGCCATGGACCAGCAGGCTCACCTTGAGCTGGAGCGCCTTAGAAATTCGGAATCTCAGGCTCCATCCAGGTCCACTGAGTCAGATGTGATCAGGTGAGAAGATGTGACATGAGAGTGGGTAGGGGCCTCCCTAGTACACCTTCAGACACAAGTCCGTGTGGACACGGGCTTGAGTGTTCGCATGGGTTGTTGGGGGACGTGGGTCTGAAGGTGGCTGCTCCTAGGCCAGGGTCCTGTTTCAGGCCTGGCAGTCTAGAGGGGCAGGTGGAGCTGCCAGGAGGCCCAAAGTGTCCTGTCCCCTGAGGGTGACGGGTCCCAGCCTGGCAGACCCTGCAGGTGGGCTCCTTCCCTGAGGAAGAAGAAGGGGTAGAGGGGCAGAGCTTCCTCCAGCTCCTGTGTGCAGGCCCCACCCAGGTTCAGAGCTGGGATGGACACGGCAACCTGCATCTGTCACTGAGGGCGTGTCCTTGGAGTGAATGTGTGCAGAGGGAGTGGGGAGGACAGACCCCTGGGATGGTCCAGGTCTGAAGACAGGCTCTGCCATTAACCGGCTGTGACTCAGTTTCCCCCTCGGGAATCGTGAACTAATAATCACTCATGGAGGGTGGGTTGCTGAGAAGGTAAGTTAGACAACAACAGGGTTCATAATAAATACTCATGACTACATTTGCCTGTGGCTCAGGGACATCAGGCTGTATCATCTAAGTGTGCATGTGACAAGTGAGCAGAAAGAGGTGAGCGGCCACAGAGCCAATCACCACCGGCCTAAGTGACTTGGATGCTGGCCCCAGACCTGGACCCACCTACAGCACTTCTAACCCTAACCAGAGAGCGCACCCTGGGCCAGCCAGGCAGTCAGCTGCCATAATGGTGCCCCCAGGAGCCCAAGCATCTCTGTCCACGCCACAAAAATGAGAGGCAGCTGGGGCCCTCCTGCTGCTCAGCTTGGCTCAGGCAAGCCTCCTCCCTTCAATCAGCTGGACTGAGGCCATGGCCAGAGTCCAGACCCACAGAACCGAATCCCACATGAGGTCAGAGGTGAGAAGTGGGTGCAAATAATCGTAAAAGATCATTTTTGCTTAAGAGAAATGGAGGCACAGAGGCCCTAAGCAGCTTTCCCACAGTTAGAGGACCACAAGCAGAAGAGAGACCCCACACGTCCTCGGACCCAGATCCTCCCAGGCTGACAACCACTGCAAGCTCGAGCCCAGCCAGACTGAGATGTCTCCTGCCCAACAGTCCTCCAACCTCAGCACAGCTCTGTCAGCCAGAGCCCAACCCGACACCACTTCACTCAGCAGATGGACGCTGCTGCCCTGGACCCGCCCACACCCAGGACCTACTACCCATTTCTATGGTCCCGGCCCTGCTCGGGCATCAGAGGCCCTTAAGCGAGCCTTACTGCTGAGAGGTCTACTCAGGGGAGATCCTACAGAGCAGTGATGGCAAACCTATGACACGCGTGTCAGAGGTGAAACGCAAACTCATTTTTTGGTTGATTTTTCTTTGTTAAATGGCATTTAAATATGTAAAATAGATATCAAAAATATAAGTCTTTGTTTTACTGTGGTTGCAAATATCAAAAAATTTCTATATGTGACACGGCACCAGAGTTAAGTTAGGGTTTTTCAAAATGCTGACACGCCGAGCTCAAAAGGTTCGCCATCACTGCTATAGAGAAAGGTCCTTAAAGGTGAACTTGGCCTTAATCTCAACCCCAGTCCAAAATTCAACCCCAGACCTGACAGTAACCTTACATTACAACCGAGAAGGGCCCTAGCCCTAAGACCCGCCCTGGCTCGCTGCTATTCATTGTTACTCACGGCAGAAAGGGGAGCCTGGGAATCTGTGTTCCAGAGAAAGCCATGGGCAGAAAAGCTGGGCCAACCAGGACACAGGGGAGCCAAAAAGGGAGCCACTATGTGGCCAGGTACCTAGAGGGGTGGCCTCTGGCCAGAAAATACTCTTCCTAGGACAGATCTCAGACCAGCCCACAGCCCCAGGGACTGGGGGGAGGGGACCTCCCTGAGGCTACATGTGAGGCGTGCCCTGTGCTCCTGCCTGCCCTGGAGTCGAGACTAGATGGCATGTCTGGGTTTTTTTCTGGGACTACAAGTCACTCACACATCTGGCCTTGAGGACAGCACCTCATCCCTGTGTGCTTGCATCACACTGATGTGACCCTGTACGGGAGGGTGACCCTGTCATTGAACCTCATTCTTGCTGTGGGCAGGGGCTCACAGCCACTGTCCCATACCCCCGGCTAGTCCTACACTTGACCTATTGGGAAATCGAGCCTTGACCCTAATTTCAACCCCTTCTCAACCTCAGCGGATCCCTAAACCCAGCACTGGCCCCAACCAACAGCCCCAACCTAACCATGCCCTTGACCTTGACATTGACCTTGACCCTGACCCTTTGTCCACTCTGCACAGGCCCTTCCCTTCCCTCAGCCCATTCCCCAGCCCTGCAGGGGCCACAGATGGACTCACAAAACAGAGCACAGCTGGCAGCCAGGGCTGGAAGAAGCAGCTCAGGGCATGAGGGCTCCCTTGTCACGTTCCCACTGACCCCAGACAACCCCCACAAACCCACCTTCAACTTGGACCTGGGGTGGGCAGAACTCACCGACATCCGAGTCTTTGTGGGTCTTGATGACCTCCGCCAGTTCAAAGTTCCCCGCGATGATGGCCACCTGGTGTGGGAGGACGGGGGAGGCTCAGTCACACCACACTCCCCATCCCTGGGCCCTGGTGGCTCCTGGGGCTCCTGTCTTTGGGGGTTGGTGGCCCCAGGTTCGGACCCTGTCCCCGCCTAACTCTCCCACCAGTCTGCCCAGGACTGAGGGATGTCCTGGGACACAGAGCTGAAATCAGAAGAGCCCTGAGCACACAGGGGCGTGCTGGTCACTCCACCTATTCTCTCAATGGTCCCTCCACACACCACCTTTCCTCTCTGAGCCATGGCTCCCCACTGCCTCCCTCCTGTCACCCTCCCTCTGCCCTTCCCTCACCCCTGCATCTGGTCCTCCCACAGGCCCTCCACTGCCATCTCGGCACCTGCTGGATAGCATGGCGGCCTGATCTGCTCTCCCTACATCTCCTTGGTAGGCCCCAGCTCTCTCCGTGGTCCCCAACTCCTCCCACACATTTCAGGAGACATGGACACCCCTCCATCTAGTCATCCGGTGCAGAGAACCAAATCCAGCCAGAGAAAGGACTCAGAAACATACCGAAATTAGTCAGGAGCTGGGACCACCCTTCTGACCCCCGTCACCTCTGCACCCTCCTGTCTCTGGAAGGTCAGACCCACATCTGTTCTCCTCTGGCCCCAGAGCCCTCTGACCCACCTGTCCCAGAAAGTGAGAGTTCACCATCCACGGTGACCACCCCCATCAGTCAGTCCCCCACTGCTGGCCACCCGGTCCCCCACCCCACCCGGGGGAGATTGCCTCAGGGAAGAACCAAGATCCAGAGAGGTCTAGCCACAAAGAGACAGACACCCGGGGAGTGGCTTCTCGCTCCTGCGCATTCTGGTACCTGGAAGGCCGTCTGGCTGTTGTAATTGCGGACATCCTTGTTGGCGCCGCGGAAAAGCAGGACGCGAGCACAGCTTTCCTGTTGGCAGTGTGGGAGTGAGGGCCATGGGGTGACAGCACGCACCCACACATTCAGAGCACACACGCATGGCATGAGAGGAGCAGGGCAGGAGTACACACCAGGTCCCATCTGGCCCAGGAGGCCCAGATGCACACAATGCACACCTGTGATTCAGAACACACGTGTGTTCAGGAAACAGACATGCACACGTAGGCCTGCAGGGCCACAGCTCACTGCAGACGCAGAACAAGCATGCATGGAGAGACACCGGATCAGACATGTACACACATGTAGTCACTGCACGGGATCACCCATACCCACACACACGTGTACACCTACAGTCACACCTGGTTGTAGAGGGCACAGATGTGCAGGGCCGTGTTCCCCGAGGCATTCTGGGCCCCCATGTCAGCTCCGTAGAACAGCAGGTGCTCCAGGTGCTGCACGTGCCCAAAGCGGCAGGCCTAGGGGAAGAAGGAGGTGCTGCTGGGCCTCTGACAGAGCCTGGGACCCCCACGCTTGCAGGGGGGCTGGAATCCCAACTCCTGCAGAGAGAGCCAAAAATGCCCCTACGCCCGACAGAGCCCAGGACCTCACCCCCCTGACAGGGCTCCCTGCCCACCTGGTGGATCTCCTGCCAGCCATTCTCATCAGTGGTCCCCAGCTGAGCATGGTCGTGGAGGAGCAGCTCACAGCAGAGGGCGTCCCCGCCCCCCAGGGCGCTGTGGTACAAGGGCGTCAGGCCACGGCTGTCCTTGTAGTCAGGTGAAGCGCCCAGGTCCAGCAGGGTCTGAGGGCGAGGAGCCTCAGTGTCCACGCTGGACCCAACTTCCTCCCCATCTTGGTCCACATGCCCCTCCAGACCCGGCCCCACCGGTACTAACGGTCAAAGCCGCGGCGTTCCGCTGGCGCGTGGCACAGTGCACAGCCGTGAGCCCGTCGCGTGTGCGGAAGTCCAGGTGGGCACCACCATTCCTCAGCACCTTCAGTAGGTCCGTGGCATTGTCCAGCTGGGCCGCCAGACTCAGGGGACACTCTGGGTTCAAGGGACAGAGGAAGGTTATGCTCCGGCCACTCCAGAGCCATGCCCCTTCCCCCACTGCTTCTCACCTCCTGAGTCAGGGTCGTGGAAATTGGGGTCTAGCCCCTTGTCCAGCAGGCGGGCCACCTTGTCTGTGCTGTGCAGCTGGACGTAGTCCATGAACTTCTTCAGGTTCGCCTGGAACACCCGGCCATCCTTGTCAGCCCCATCACAACCACCATCATCAGGCCGTCACCCACCTTCCAACAGCCAGATTCAGGCCTCCTGGGAAGCGTCCACGCTGCCCCGGCTCCTCGCCTGATAGTAGCGCCTCAAGGCCACCCAGGCAAGGACCAGCCCACCCACCCCCCGTCCCCATCAGGGCTCTGTTAGTGGGTCTAAGGTGGCCTGTTTCTTCCCTGGCCCATATTCCACATGCGCTTGCCCCCTGGCAGGCCTCCCGGGGTCTTCTCCACCTACAGGTGGCCCTGCTTGTGCCAGGACCTTGCCCAGCAAAGCCCCCGAGTCCCTGCTGCTACAGAAGCTTCGTGCACAGGCAGGTGCCCGGCTGGAAACACACAAGCACACCAGAAACGGGAGAGGGCAGCACGGGGACCACCCCACAGGAGGGGGCCTCCTCAGGTTGCTCAGGACGACTGAGGGAGAGGCCTCAGCCGGATCCAGGGTGGGTGGTGTCAGGGTGGGGCAGCTGGAGCCCAGGCAGGAGGAGACACAGGGCCGTGGTATGAGGTTGCAACTCATCCCAAAAACAAGGAGGGCTCACTGAAGAGCAGGAGTCACCAGTGTCACCTGGCCAGCGGTGCTCAGTGGTTGAACATCGACCTATGAACCAGGTCACAGTTCCATTCCTGTCGGGGCACAGGCCCAGGTTGCAGGCTCCATCCCCAGTGTGGGGCTGCAGGAGGCAGCCGATCAATGGTTCTCTCTCATCACTGATGCTTCTCTCTCTCTCTCCCTCTCCCTTCCTCTCTGAAATCAATAAAAATATACTTTAAAAAAAAAGGAGTCACCAGTGTCCTGTGGGACTTTGGAGGAGAAGTGACCATGGGAGGAACCAGGGTAACGGGTCACAAAGGGGCCACAATAGTCTCTGCAGCCACAGCGTCCATTGCTGACCACCACGTGCTCTGGGCAGCAGAGAAGTCTGGCATGGAGATTCCAAGGTCACGGAGGGGTCACTGGGACACAGAGGGGTCACTGGAGCTTGTCTAGGCTCCAGAGAAGTGCCCAGCAAGCAAACATCCCCTGGCACATGGGAACCTGAGGTGGGAGCTCAGGGGGTCCACCTGTCGGGAGGGCCCCTAGCACGACCTTGCCCCTCCCGCATTCAGAGGAAGCAGCAAGGTGCCCCCTCGCAATGGCATCGGGAGTGACCCACAGGGTGTCCCGGCACAGGCCCGAGTCAGGCAGATCTGGGTTCAGCCCAGCTTCACTGGCTGCAGTGAGCAAGTCACTTAACTGCTCAGGACTCAGTACCTTCCTGTGCCACACAGGGTGACAGTCCCTTCCCGGAGGGAACTAACGAGATGCCTGACTCCAAGTGCCCAGCCCTGGTGACCACGGAGTGATCCCCTCTCCGCCAGTGACCATGGTGGTGCTTGTTCACTTCTCTCCCCTCCCCTGCCCCAGGTTCTCACCAAGGCATGTGCCCCATCGCACTCCATCCTCCTGAGCCAGGGTGGGCCAGAGGTTCTGATCCTACCAGAACCCGGCACCAGACCACCTACCCCAGACCCGTGAGGCCTGGAGTCTGCCCAGCCCTCCAGCCCCCACCCCTGCTCTGTGCCCCTGACCACAGGACAAAATAGGCTGAGCCGAAGCCGCATGGCTGCCTGCTTACCTTCGTGTGAAGCTTGGCAAACTGCTTATCATCGATGAGGTTCTGGGCATACACTCGCCTCTTGTATCGAAACTGCTCGGGTAAAAATAAGGCAGGGAAAGGCATCCTCCTGGGCTGAGTGAACGCTCGCACAAAACCAAGTCCTGCTTACCTCTGCGGCTCAGGCCTCACGCAGATCACCCCCTCAGCACAGAACCCCTCTCGCCAGCCACACAGATCCCATCCCCACCACCATGGGCACAGAGCCAACCAGCTCAGAGGGACACATGCCTCGCCTAGCTGTCCCTGGCCTGCAGTGGGCTTTCTGTCTCATTCCTGCCCCCAGGATCCCCGGAAAAACCCCACTCCTCTTCCAAGACCTGGATTCAGGCTTCCCTTCCCTGACACCCACTCTCTGAGCAGAACTGACCCAGGGCCACCACAGAGGCCAAGCCAAGTCGGAGCTCAGCTACCATAATGCTTATTTCATTGTTCACTGCACTTGGCATCCCTCCGCCCAAACCACGAGTCTGTGCCCCATGCCTGACAGGGCACTGCTGGCCTTTACAGCACAAATGGGTGAGCAAATGAGGAGGCTTAGGTTTGCCTTCACAGGCTCCCGGGAGGGGCTGACGACACACAAGATAACGCGCTGGCTTACTCCACACACGCTCTGGGCGCACCCCTGCTCGCACCCCAACCCCTGGAATCACGCTCTGGGCTCCCACCGCACACGCTGCTGACTGCAGGCCGGCACACTACTCCCTGCACACACACACACACACACACACACACACTCACACCACGCGGCTCGCTGCACGCACCGCACACACAATTCACATGGCTCCCTGCACACAAAGCCCCCGCTCCCACACGAACTGCTCACGCCTCGGAGCTCAGTGGTGGCACCACGCGCGCCCTCCTCCCGCCCGGGCCGCGCCCGGCCGCCGCTCACCTCCAGGTAGGGCAGGGGCGTGTCCAGGTTCGGCGGGTACTCCTGCAGGAGCCGCTCCTCGTCCAGGAACTTGCCCGCGCGGCCCCGGGAGGGCGGCTGGAAGAGCCCGTAGTTGAGCGCGTCCTGGAGGCTGTGGTTGAGCGCGCAGAGCACGCGCTGCTTGGCGGCCCACACGGGCGCGGCCGGGTCCAGGCGCAGGCACTTCTGCGGCGGAGCGGGCGCATGAGCGCGGCTGCCCTGCTCGGCAGCGCAGGGCCCCGTGCCCCGGGCTCCCCGCGGGAATCCGGGACTCGGGAGCCCACGCTGCGGACCGGCGCCTCCACGGCCACCAGCGAGGCCCCGCCCGCCCCAAGGGCGGTGCTTCCCCGGGCCCCGCCCCGCGGGGCGCTGGGGAGGGTCCCCTCCGAGGCGGCGGGGGAGGGGTGAGTAGCCGCGGGCCGGGGGTCCCCCGCGCCCAGCTCGGAGTGCACGGCGGGGGGCGGCCGGGTGAGGGGGCGGCCGGGGCCGGGCGCGGGCTCACCGTCTGCTGCAGGTCCGGGATGCCTACACGCACGACCACGGCGCCGGCCCCTGGGCCGTCCATCCCCGCGCCGGGGCCGGGGCTGCTCGCGGCCGGGAGCGGGGTGCTCGGGGGCTCCACGCGGCGCCCCGGCCCCCCCTCGCCCCCCGCCAGGGCCCCGTCGGTCGCGCTGTGCGGGAGGGGGCCGGAGGGGGCCGGGGCCGACGCGGGGGACAGCGGCGCCGAGGGCTCCGCAGGGGCGGCGGCGGCGCGGCTCAGCTGCATGGGCCCGGGCTCCGCGGCGCTGCTTCCCCGGGGGCGGGGGCGGCGGGGGGAGGGGGCCTGCGCCGGAGGGAAGCGGGGGCGGCCGGGGGGCTGCGCCGAGGCGGGGGCGGTAGGGCTCGGGGCCAGCCCGGGGCGGGGCGGGGCGGGGCGCCTGGGAGGGTCCTGGGTGAGGTGGGAGGGGGGTGCGGAGGGGGCACCGGCGGGCGGGGACCTGGGGGCTGCCGAGTGCGGGAGCCCTGGGCCTGGGCGTTGGGAGTGGCTCCGGCTGCGCCGAGCCTCCGCGGACCTCGCGGGAGAGGCGGCGAGGAGGGTCCTGGAGCTGGGGAGGGGCGCCGGGACGAGGGCGGGCGGGAGGAGAGAGAATCGGGGATTAGTGTCCGGGAGCGGCTGCGCCCCGCTCTCCCGACCTCCCCGCTCGACCCCCCCTCCCCGCCCCCCACCACCACCACCACCGAGGCCCGGGACTGACAGGTACGGAGCCTGCCCCAGGCCCGGGTCGACGGTGGGGACCTCGGGCGGGGTCGGGCCTGTGCGCTCCTTGAGCCAGGCCACCTCGCGGCCACCGCGTTCCGCGCGGCTCTCCGCCGAGTTTGGGGAGCAGGCTCCGGACTCGGAGGCCCGCCTCGCCTCCCCACCCCCTCCAGGCTCCAGGTTCGCCCAGATCCGACGCCCGACGCCCCCTCCCCGTCACCTTAGCGACGGCAGGATGGGGGGCGCGACCTATGAGGAAGGGTTTAGGGGAGGGGGCGCTACTAGACTCCACCTGCGGCAGGAAGAGAATTTTAGTTTTACCCGTTGTCGTGGCAACGCAGGAGGGGTGGCGAGTGGGTGGAGGAGAGGGGAGCGCAGGGAAGAACTAGCTCTGGCACCACCACCCCGCGGAGCCTGCCCGGCCCCCCACCCGCGGGGCCTACGGAACTACCCCAGGGCGTCCAAACGCTGCACCCCAGGGCCCTGGGAGCAGCCGCCACTAAACGTCGCAACATCCCTAAACCCCAGAGAAATACCTCCTGACTCCCCCAGAACTCCCCCAAAACACGGCCATGCCCCTCCCAGCAGAGCCGCGCACCCTCTGGGAAGGCACACTGCGAACCCTCACAGCGCACACTTGTGAGCCCTCACAGCCCGGCCAACATGGGGCACCCTGGCGCCTGGAGAAAACTCGCTGACCTCGGCCGCCCCCACCTTCTCCAGGCGCAGCCCTGGATTCCCTGGGCTCCCAGGAATACACTTGAATGAACCCACACACAGAACACCTCCCGGGCCCTCCCCATGGCAACCTGGAAACACCCTCACCCCACGCGGAAGTGTTTGACATTCCCTCCAAGAACAGCCGGCTCCCCACAGAGCCACCACCACCACCAGGGCCTCCCACCACACCACCCATGCCCATCCCTCTGCCTCCAGGGCAGCCTCTGGTCCCCCTCCTCCCCAGGGCAGGAGCCGCTTCCCAAGGGCCAGCTCTACCCGCTGAGGGAGCCCTGGCCCCCTCCACCCCCATCCACCTACTTTAGGGAAAATCTCTGTCCCCCAGGATCCACTGACCCCACAGAGCCGAGCCTCCAGCGCTGACTGTGGGTCTGTCTGTCCCACTTTCTCAGCAGACACTCCCTGCCGGGAAGCGTTGCCCCAGGATGCCCAGACCTCCCACCTCCCTGTCCAGGCTCTTCCCAAGGCCACTGGCCTGGCCTGAGTGAGGGAGCTGAGGGTCCCCTGGGGACTGGAGCAGGATGGGAGGGGTGGGGAAAGCGGGGAGCAGGAAGGGGCGGTTGGAAGCCCACTTATCTGCAGGAAGCACCTTGGGAAGCATGAGAGTTTGGGTTTCCTGGCCCAGCCCTGGTGAGAGGAAACGACTGCGTCCGGTGCTTGGTGTCTCCACCATCTTCCTGCCCCTTCCCGCCTCCTCCCTCCCCAGTCACCCCGGCCCCCAACTCCATGCCCACCCAAAGCGGCCCTGCCACCCCCCATCCATACCACTACCACCTCCACCTGCCTTTGCTCCCAGCGGCTCCTCCCATTGTGGCCACTGCAAGGCCATGGACAAGCTCACCGAAGTCCCTGACAGATGCCAGGAGGAGGCTGTGCCTCTCCCCCACCCAGACTCGGAGCAGTCCTAGTCCTTCACCAACTCCCTGGAAACCTGCCTGATGGCCACATACCCACCTGCCCACCCAGACTGGACCTCACAGGGCCCTTCCTGCCTCCCCAGGCCTCCCTACCTGAGCCCTGTGCACTGATGCCCAGCCCCTTGGGAGAGACCCTCCATCGGACTCATGGTCTCCTCTTGGCCCGGCTCAGCCCAGGGTGATAACAGAGCCTCATACAGTGCTGGCTCCGCAAAGAGCATGGCACACAGGATGGCACATATGCATGAAATCCAGGCCCACACTCCCCGGCTCCCCCACCACCCGCAGCAGCAAAAACAGCACACCCAGAAGCCCTGCACCCACATCGGGGCCTCTGTGCCTGCCGTGTGGTGGGTCTGCAGACATGGAAGCCAAGGACGCGGGTGTTTGTGCTCTTTATTTTGTTGAGACTAGAAGACCCCAGGCTCCTGTCCACCTGCCTCAGTAGGTCCACCTTTGCCTGGACCAGCCCTGCCCCCTTGCCTCCCTTGCCTCTGTCCTTGAAGGTGAGGATTCACCTGACCATGGCCTCCCTCCTTCCTTCAGGACCAGGGTCCCAGAAAGATCGTTGTTCCCTACTTCTTCCCCACATTCTCCCACCACAAACAAGCTTCCTAGGGCCTTGGGGAGCACATGTGAGCTAAACACCCAAAACAGTGCCTGGCACAGGGCAAACCCAGCCCTGGATGGAGCCTGCCCACTGGCCCTCTCTGCTCCAGCCTTCACTCCACCTCCCCTGAGGCCCCAAGTGCCTCCTGGTCAACTCTTCTGACAAGGTGTTTGTCTCAACTGACCTTCACTGCAGCTCAGGTGTGCCCCCTCCTTCACCCCTCCCTCCTCCTCTAACCCTCCTGGGGCCACTTCCTCACTGAATTCCAGCCCTGCCCTCCTCGTGCCTCAGCGGCCTAGACCCATATCCACCCTGGAATAACACCATAAGCTTTCTTTCCTGGCTCACCTGACTCCTCCTTGAACCTCACACCCTTGGTTTCCAAAACAACTCATGGGGGCAGGGGCTTCTGCAATCAGGCCTTCCCTGTCTGCGCTTCCTTTCTGCCCAGTCTATACTCTTTCCCCCAGTAGACTCAGCCCCTACCCCCTCACTCCCATCTACTTCTCTGTCTTCAGCAGCACCTACTGTCAGGTGCTGTATGGGACTCACTAGTTTAGTATCTGTCTTGCCACCAGAACATGGGCTCTCTGTGGGGAGGGAGCTTGACCTGTCTGGTTGCCAATGTGTCCAAGGTCTTGAAATCGTGCCTGGGGCACAGTAGGTACTCAACATGCATTTGCTGAGTGGATGAATCAAAGCTTCCGTTCTAGGCTGTTCACACCTACCTGCCTTCAGGACAGACATCTCCCAAACTCCAGATGAGTTTGTAGGAGGCAGGAATCCTTGAAGGTTCAGTTGATTATAAAACTGGATCTGGTCTTTTCTGTGGGTAGACTTTTTTATTGCTCCTAGTTATTAATGCCTATCAGTATATTTAGGTATTTTTTCATCCTGAGTCTGGTTTGTTAAATTTTCTAGGAAAAATTTCTAAAGAATCTTTTTTTCATCTTGTTTATCATCTCTATTTTCTATTTGTTTAATTCTAATCTATTTTTCTCTGCCTTTTCTTTTATTTCTATGATTCATTTTCTAGTTTCTTCAATGGACACTTAAGGCTATAAATTACCAAATGCCACTTTAGCTCTGTCCCTTAAGTTTTGATAAGTAGTATTGTTAATTAAACCTTGTTATGACTTTCTAATATCAGTTATATTTTTTGGCTTGGGAATTGCAGAAAAGTATGCTTATTTAGAAGTATGCATATTTTTGTTAAATTTATTTCTAAGAATTTTGTTATTTCACATTATTGCAACTAAACTTTTCAAGTTTCATTTTATAACTGTTTATTGCTAATACATAAAAGTACACTGATTTTGCCGAAACCGGTTTGGCTCAGTGGATGGAGCGTCGACCTGCGGACTGAAAGGTCCCACGTTCGATTCCAGTCAGGAGCATGTGCCTGGGTTGCGGGCATATCCCCAGTGGGAGATGTGCAGGAGGCAGCTGATCGATGTTTCTCTCTCATCGATGTTTCTAACTCTCTATCTCTCTCCCTTCCTCTCTGTAAAAAATCAATAATATATATATATATATATATATATATTTTTTTTTTATTGCTTAAAGTATTACAAAGGGTATTACATATGTGTCCATTTTATCCCCCCGCCCTAGACAGTCCCCTAGCCTCCCCTATCCCCCAATGTCTTATGTCCACTGGTTATGCTTCTATGCATGCATACAAGTCCTTTAGTTGATCTCTTACCCCCCTACCTCCTGCCCCGCAACCCTCCCCGGCCTTCCTGCTGCAGTTTGACAATCTGTTTGAGGCAGCTCTGCCTCTGTATCTATTATTGTTCAAAAGTTTATAATGGTCCCTATTATCCATGAATGAGTGAGATCATGTGGTATTTTTCCTTCATTGACTGGCTTATTTCACTTAGCATAATGCTCTCCAGTTCCATCCATGACGTTGCAAATGGTAAGAGTTCCTTCCTTTTTAGAGCAGCATAGTATTCCATCGTGTAGATGTACCACAGTTTTCTAATCCATTCATCTACTGATGGGCACTTAGGCTGTTTCCAGATCTTAGCTATGGTGAATTGTGCTGCTATGAACATAGGGGTGCATATATCCTTTCTGATTGGTGTTTCTGGTTTCTTGGGATATATTCCTAGAAGTGGGATCACAGGGTCAAATGGGAGTTCCATTTTCAGTTTTTTAAGGAAACTCCATACTGTCTTCCACAGTGGCTGCACCAGTCTGCATTCCCACCAGCAGTGCACAAGTGTTCCTTTTTCTCCACATCCTCTCCAGCACTTGTCGTT